ACTTTGCGACACATCTTTACCGACCCACCCCGAAGTTTATGAATTATGTATTTCAACTTTTCCACGTTAAATAAATTGCTATGTGACAAAATACCATTAAATCCTATGAATTGAATCATTCTTGGAAATATATTGAATAATGTATTTATATTTTACGTTGAAAAAACACAAAATAAAGAATTTAATTTATGCTTGAAGATGTTTTCCCTAACAAACCTAATGTTAGTGGATTTAGTTAAGCCATACAAATCCTTATCCTCCAACAAATGAGGGAGAAAGACAACGATCAGGGGTGTCAAGTCTATTTGCATTTGTCGTGACAAATTTATTATAACATGAGTACAACGTAGACTATTTTCGTGTTTTGTTATTATTTTATGTATAAAATAACTTTACCACTTTCGAACTAAATTATAAAATATTATATACGTGTCAAGTTACTTTAGAGAAATCTAGACGACAGAAATGTTTTCGATATTGTCAGAGAAAAATAAACTTAAAGAAACATAGCTTTAATGGCGAACATGATTTCGTCTAATTTCAAGTTAGTTACCTACTAAAGTCAAAAATCATTTATTCATGTAGGTAACACAATGCACTCTTATGAACGTCAAAAAAGAAATATACATTAAATGCTTCTAATTTTACATTTACTGCCAGTTCTCAAATCAAGGGCGTAGAACGGAAGAGAAGAACTGGCAGTAAACTCTCGGCCAATCTTTTTAATCGCTAAGTTTTCTTATTTTACATTTTTCTATTTATCAATTTTATTTATTATTACTATGTAGGTGAAAAATATTGTTTATACTCTATATTTGTGTGTTAATTAATTGTTCTTTTTTTGTACAAAAATACCGATATCCTGTTCTAGTAATGGAAATCCCTCAGAGTTCAGGGTTCTTTAACAACGTATGCAGCTAATACGTAATGTTTTGATAATATGAGTAAATCAATTTACCTAAAAAAACAGCTACCGTGACGCTATAACATTTTAGGTCTGGGCCTCAGATTTCTGTTGGTCGGTAGGGGTCGGCCTTCTGTGTCTGACACAAACCGTCGACTGCGGTCTAAAGCATGCCGGTTTTCTCAAGATGTTTTCCTTTACCGTACGAGTATTTAATGCACACAGAAAGTCCATTGGTGAGCACACGGGGTTCGAATCTACGACCTCAGAGATGAGAGTCGCACACTAAAGCCTCTAGAGTCTAGACCAACTATGCTCTTTTTGAAGGCATATTAAAGAAAGCTGATCAGTGTATTTTTTGATATTCAAATAGGATTTATTAAAAAAGATTACCCAACATTTGGGTGATTTAAAATTTAGAATTCTTAACAATTTTGTATCTTGAAGCTCTCACATTTATGATTTTATGTAAACACCAAGCCCTTAGCGATAAAAACTTTCACAACGTTCAAACATAACAGTGGTGCGTCATATACACAGGTGTATTGTAAATTGTCAAACAGATAACTGTTACCGTTACCCTATGGGCCTTTAGTTCGGTATTATATTAGGTATTTTAATAATCCCCGGAGCCTCTGTAACGCGGCTTTGTAGGAACTACTCGAGGTGGTTTTAGTGGGTATTGCTCACCCAGTCTCTGAATAGTAGAGATTTTGCTATTCAGAGACTGGGCTGGACTGGAAATTTTGATTGGCGTGGGTCGAGTCCCACATACCCCTGCAACTTTTGAGAACAAATGCATTTCCACCAAAAAAAGGTATTTAAATAATAACGGGTGTGTCAGGCACAGAAGGCTGATCATCTACTTGCCTATTAAAAAAAAAAGATACAGAAACACATATCAAATAGTGGTTGTAATCACTAGTTTTTTTAAATATATTTTGAATCCACCCATACAAGCTTGCCCATGCAACATGCAGCTTAGGTGTGACGTCATTTTAACTCAACTAAGACGGTTTGCACGTGTGAATAAGACTGCAGGGGATTTGCCTAGGAAACTGTTGGGACGATTAGTTAGTCACTGTATAATCGTCTAAAATGGCTTCTATTTGTAATTGACTCTAATCTACTTTACGCCCTTTATTTTGTAAACTACATACATAGTCCTAGCCTGACAGTTTTGCCTTTAAACGTGACAAAAGATTGTTACCATGGTTACCGATTTTTTACATCCCATCATAACATACTCTGTATGAACTAATCTTACAGAGTATGGTACGTCACGTTTAATAACAAGACCGCGTCGGTATAGGACGTATTACGCTTGGGTTCTAAATTCAAAATATCAGTTATTTTACGATTATATTTAGTCTGTGTAAAGGCGCGAAACCGTTTTCTGTAAAAATACAATGCAGTTATTATTGAACACTTATTATTGAATTTTACAGACCCGTACTCGGGGTCGTCTATAAAATGATAAGGATTACTTATGCCATTAAAAAAAATTCACTATACGTCCCATTGAAAGCATTCAAAGTAATAGACCATACACTAGATGGGTATTAGTTTGATATGTTCCGTGTGGTCAAATTCGTTTTTGTGCTTTTTTAATTATGTAATACCAACTACCATTAATTCTATTGTCTTTATAATTAGGTTAAATGTCAAGCCGTTCGAGCAATATCTAGGAAATTGTACGTTTTAAAGGACTCCAATTCAATTTAATAGAAAATGTACGGCGCAAGTGAAGTGAAATTTAATGAAATTTCATATAAGTGCTGTTACGTTGACACGAGTCTTGATATGAAGCTTTCCATATGTGGGTATATATATTTTTAAATAAGGTTTATGAACTCATCAGTCAAGGTAAGAAATATTGTGTTGAATAAAAATGTATTGAGATAAAACGGTATTAATGTTATTACCAAATAAATTTTTACCTTTTTGAATTTGGAACTATTAAATAGATACCTAAAAGAAACCACGATCTTTTCTTTTTTCTTAACACAGAGTAACACAGTTTATATTTATATTTTTTTTAATTCATAGCAATATCTAAATATACAGATGATAGTGGTTTCAACCAACTGGCTTTATAGTCGGCGTCCTAAAAAAGCCTTTAGGAACCCTCAATTTCGAATTCCTTTCCCATAAATTCTTATCCATGACTATATACCCACTATGGAAAAATGGGTTATATTTACGAAGGTTTGCCATTAATTCCTCTTTACGACTCTAACAGCCATTTTACCACGTATACGTTATTACGTAGTAGTTAAAATACAAAAAAACTCTGCTGTGTGACTGACATAAAGGGACTGCGGAATATATAAAGAAAGTATTATAAGCACAAGAACAGAGACAAAAAGTGATTATAAAATTTAAAAAAAAACATATAGGCTTTTGGACAACTTATATAATCAAACATTAACAGTTTTATAACTACTTACTGAATTTGTGTTTGGCATACGCAATTAAATGCACTAAAATACTTTCTTAAATGTCGAGGTTAATTTATAATATGTAAAATTATGCTTTTAAATTTATAGTTACTTAAATTACATTTTAGTAATCTAAAAAATGCAAATGTAGATTTCGGTATTTAAATTGGAAAAAGAAATGAAACAATTTACCTCGCAACCCGCCTTCGGCAGTCGCAAGGGTGAACATTTTTTATTACAGTACGTTTTCTTTTGACATTTTCGATTTAGTTTCATTCGCAACAAATGCAGAGAAGGTTTATTCTTTACTATTTCGTTTTTATAAGCATTTCGGATTCTTGTGGTGTCTAAGAAAAATAATCATACTTGTAGTTTAATATATACCTTTGATAATTACAAATATATAGGTAGATATCTTCTGGTTGTTCTATGCAGTAAATAATTACAATTATTATTAAGCCTTTTTTGCTGACACCCAGTGTAATATATATGAACATTGTTTTAGATACATATGCTAACTTAATTTAATACATCAGATGTGCCGGTTTTGGTGATCAGCGTGTCCTGTGATGTACATAGGCCTCTTCCAGGTGCTTCCATTCTTTTCTAATGTTAGCTCTTCTGGTTCAAGTTATGTAAAAAATTACAATTAAACGCTAAATTTCAATAATTGCTATAAAGTAAAGATGTTAAGTTGTATTAGGTTACAGAGGACAAAAGGGTACTGTATCTAAGGTATATGCTTTCGTCTATTCGAAATGCGACCACTACTCAATAATCGTCTTTATCAGACCGACCTTTAAAGGGCAATGGTACGTTTCACTTAACCTTCAATAAGTATAAAAGTTTAGCCTAAGACTTATCGATTCGATTGCTATTTTTTACACAAGTCGTCTAAAGACTTCTTTATTTTGTATGTAATCTGTAACATTATGTTAATAAAATTTTAGCGATGACATTTAAATTTTGACAGAACAAGCTGTCAACTCTCAAAAGTCAGCTGTGTGTCAATTCTTTTATAACGTTTGCAATTCTCGTGTCTACTTGGAAATACAAACTGTTCGCAAAATCTATTAAATTGAGTAGGTACCTATACTTTGCGGTTTCCATTACGAACAAATATTGGTTCATTTGTTACGGCTTGTTGTTCGCTCGACACTACAGCGACATCATTTCAGAAATTAATTGACGCTATTATGCCGCCATGTTTTCATTTCTCCGGGTAATATAACAAATTTCAAATTCGGAGTAAATTAACCTCAGATGTAACTTTCAAGGTGATACAAAAATGAATAATTCCACGAGGTGTTCTGAGTTTTTTCTTTGAAATATATAGTATTAAATCCCCGAGTTCGAAAGCGGGTATTTTCTTTGTTCTAAGTGCGTCACGTGCTGAAGCATTTTATTATACGTGTTCTATCCTTGCGCTCTGAGAGCTCTACGCCGCGTGTTCTCAAGAGTCGTTTCCTTGCAAATGAAGCCCTCCTACAGCTATCAAGTTAACCACTATTATCATTTTTACAATAAGAGCTTCTTTAATGACACTTTTCCAGCCCTATTTGAGGAGAAACCCGTAAATATTTAATCCGTCCATTCATTCATGTTGGAATGTTTCTGTATAGACAAATGAAAATCATTAAACAGACTGAACTATAATGAATTCCATACGAGGTCACGGAAATGTGACACAAATTCTCGTAATAAGTGAGACGAGTCACGATTGTGATGTCTGACGATGCGTTCGTCAACGAAAATGTATTCATCTATTCACTTTACATGAAAATTTTCTTTCTTTGTGTTATATAAAAAAGAATTGCCTCGTCTTGTTTTAACCTAAAGCCAAACAAAAGTTTTTCATGGGAACAATAGTTTGAAATAATTAAACAAAACTTGTTTTAATATATTTCAATGTTTGTAAACATTCATACAAAAATAACTAAACGAATACAGTTCGGTTGGCTGCATGCCAACATTTTAAACGTTTATTTTATCTTTTGTCAACCGAAAAAATAAAAACAATAACGTGGTATTTGTTAGTGATGACAGGCACTTTATTACATTTTATTAACTAATGACTTTTGTTTACAGGTTCCGTGCTAGCGGTGGAAGTTCACTTTGAAAACAAAGACAGCGGCTTTTTTCTAAAACACACGGCAAGATGGAGTGGCGCTGGTCCACCACCAGAGCCTATGGGCACAGCCCTACCCGGTGCTCTTCTTTCACTCGATCGTTTTACTGTCCTACAAGGTTCAGCTCCAGCATCAGTTAGAGCAACCTATGGGCCCTTCTCGACGAAGCAGACTGTCCCAGCGCGGTATGCGGTCCCGGACCCATTAGAACCACCTCGAAGGAATGCGACGTTACTGGAATTGCAAGACGCAACAGCACACAGACTTGACGTATCCGCCCATCTTGTATTCAGGGAGTTGCCTCGCGACGCTCCCGTATTACGAGTACTCTTTCACACCGGAGGTGAAGGAGGCGCACGAAGAGCTGCTACAAGATTACGGAGAGTGTGTATAACACTACACGCTAGTCTAGGCTCGAAGACCCTAACAGCAACATGCGGTCCTGAAGGCGAGGAAGGAGCCTGTCTCGCAGAGTTGACTGTGCCAGCAGCATGGTGGCCGGCAGATGGAAAAGGGAAGAGGCCGCCTCGTACATTGAAATTGGCGTATAGTGCAGCAGAAGCGAATAGTGGAGATGGTGGAGAGGGAGTCTGTGGAAAGGTTTCCGTGCAGCCAGCGTGGCCATTGGGCACTGTGACCTTAGCAGGTGCTAGGGCTGGGTATAGAGAGGCGAGGGCTGGAGACACAGCTCTACTACTACCTCGTGCACCTTTGTACCCTCATTTCCGTCTGCACATTCCTTTTGTTGTTCGCCGTGATGCTGGACACACCATCGGTCATGTTGTCATAAGGTAAGAATCAAATATCAATGTATTTTATAACGTAACTATAGTTTGTGTAACGAAGAGTGATTGATTCAGACGTGTTATTCGCTCCGAATCTCTGTACCATGTAATGTTAGTGGAAAGCATTACCTTTGATATACAGAAAATGAAGTATAAATCAATATCAATCATCGTTCCCAAGTTAATACGGTGTAAAGAGCCCTCAGTTAGCTCAAGTCTTGACATTGAAGCGCAAATTGCTGTCACCATGAAAACCTCTCGGCGATGTCATCAACGACCGCCTACTCACTAGTCAAGTGTGAACTAACAGTTCTAAGTACTTATGTACCTACCTAGAAAGTTCCGGTTAATAACATTTCATATTATTGTGAAGTAGGTATTTAATTTCCGGGAACAGAATTATTAATTTGTGTCAGTTAACTTGTGAGCAGTGTTGGCCTAGTGGCTTCAGCGTGCGACTCTCATTACCCTGAGATCGTAGAATCGACCCTCGGCTATGCACTTATGAACTTGCTGTCTATGTGCGCATTTACCATTCGCTCGAACGGTAAAGGAAAACATCGTGAGGAAACCAGCTTGCCTTAGACCCAAAAAGTCGACGGCGTGTGTCAGGCACAGAACAATTAGATTGACAAATGAACATGTAACAGATACTGAAATCTGAGGCCCAGAACTAAAAAGGTTGTAGCGCCAACTTGTATATTTTATTGTAAACTGTATTGTAAATAAATCCTTCACGCAAAATTCTTTTGACGTAACTTCGATATTTTTTGAAGGGTTAATACAGATACTGTAGAAAATTGATATTCCGTGTCAAGATAGGTAAAAACGGCGAGCTTCAACTAGATTTATCGTTGCTACAAAGTTGATGCTGCACTAATGGAGAGCTTTAAGCACCGCTTGACTTTTCGTTGGAAATCAGGTCAACTTGTCAGTTCCCACACGTTAGAGTTTCGACCATTATGAAACTAAATTCAATTCTAGCTGGAAACACAAGCTTTGGTTATAGACACTCATATATCTACGCTATTATGTCTATATGTGACGTATGTCGGCAAAGAGTTACATTATTAAACTATTATTTTTTATATGATAAGGCAAGTCTACCGACTAGTCTACCGCCCATAAACGGCAGTCATCGTAGCCCATGGACACCAAGTTTTTTTAACAATATATGTATATACAGGGTAGCCAAAAAGTCGTGGATCAAACGTAACTAGGGGATAGATGAGGTCATCAGCTGCAAAAAATTGTTCTACGGGAGGTCCCTAAGCTCAATTCCTGAAGACTTATAATTTATTTTGCGTTTTTATTAGAAAATTGACTTTTTTTTCCTGTATCTTCTTCATAATATCCACTAGATTGGTACTGATGAGTTCTTGCGTTAGACATGCTTTTTATAGTTGTTTATTGAGTGTATTGAAGATAATATTAAGTTATACGATATAAAAATTTCTCAAATCAAAACTTTTTGTTTACTTCGGACCCCACTGTGAAAAAAAAAATACTCTACCGAAAAGTGACCCTATATTACAAGTTTTGACGCATTTAATAGGGATTTTGAAAAGGTATTACACTTGGCTATGAGTGGCTCGGCCCACGGAACCCGAAGCATTCTCCTCCAGCATCCACGGTTTACCACATCTCACAAGGTCCACGTTTCTGCATATATTATAATAATATAGCTATATTTTATGTTTATAGGATGAAAGTAAAGTCTGGATTAAGACTGGTAAGCGTGAACGCTGCGAACTCTCATTGGGCGGTCACTGCTGAAGTCAAGCCTAGGTCTGCAACGGTCACGGCGACACGTCTAGAACAACCACTCCGAGATGATGATGGACTTGAATTGTAAGTGCTTTCTTGTATTTGTTAAAGTCCAGTGTAAGATTAGAATAGGTTTTTTATGATACGGATCAAACGGGCAGGAGGCACACCTAATGTTAAGTGATATGGCCGCCCATATACATTCACAAAGACAGAGGACTCGTAAGTGCGTTGCCGGCCTTTAAATATGATAATTGATAATGGGTCAAATCATGACTTTAAGTTAAATTTGCGTATATAATAAATAATATTTTACTAATAAAAATATAATTTATTTATATAGGTATCGCAATGAACACTTAAACGCTAGTACAAAAAATAATGGTTCTAAATTGACATTTATTGCCATTTCACAAATTAGAAGCGTAGAACGGACGAGAACTGGCAATAAAGTCTCCGTCACTCTTTTAAATAGTTGTTTTTTTTTAATGTTTGTAAGAAGCTGCAGCCATTATGCTCCTAATCACATATAAAACTAACTATAAATTATAAAAAGCCTTTATTGCTGTTTAAACCTTAAATGCTAAATATAAAGTAAATGTTCCTAAAGTAATATAGTATTTATTATACATATTATCTATCGGCAAACGGTTATTATTTACATCTTGTCTTTCGACAAACGCCTTCTCTAAATTTTTCCAATCTTGATGTTCTCTAGCAGTTTAAATCCACATCGAACCCGCTACCTTTTTTATATCATCCTACATCATGGGTACCTCTCCGTTACAATTCTATTCCAAATTTTCTTCTTTTCTCTCACAAAACCCAATATTATACTTCAAATAATCGATTTCTTAAGTAATGTCAAGCTTGGACTGTTAATTCAAGAAGTTTTAATGTAAAGATTAGTCTATGGATAAAAATAAATACTATATAAATGTGTTAAATCTTATTCCTCTCTTCACTATCGTATAAGTAATATAAGAACTTGTAAAGGTTTAAATTTATACATTTGCTGGAAACTCAATCATATATTTTAATTAATGTTGATATAACATATCCTCTTAATATGCCTGAGGCAAGACAACCAAATGTAATTCTCCCTTATAAGTTTTGTCTTCATAAAGTTTATATAAAGTTGGGAAAATCTCGAGTAATTTCCCAAAGGCTCCATTAAAGGTACCTTTTTGTTCACTTTAATTCTACTTGAATTGGAATTGCGGCTTTAACTTCAAATATATGTATTACTTTTAACTTTCACAATTTACTGGATGTCCGTCTCGATCTCGTAAGCCTATTTATTATTTTACATTTATATTCTGAAAAATATGTTTGTGTAAACGATAGAAAGATGGAAACACAGATGTAGCAACTCCGATACAGCTGAAATTACTTAGTTCCTTCCACATGTTGATGCAGTCTATTCAATAGTTAAAGATGTAACCAACGGGACTGATCATACACATATCACAGGTCACGGTGGATTCTCATCGTTCTTCACAGATTTAGAGTTAATCAAAATGCTGCCTGTCCTTGTACAGCTGTACAGCATACAGCTGAAGAGACGGTATTATCAATCAAATCAAATACGTTTATTCAGTTTAGATGCGTCTTAGGGCATACTTATGAATGTCAAAAACGTTTACAAAATTCGCGAAAGAGCAAAACTACGCTATCCGTTCGCAAAACTACCAGGAGGCCTTGTTCTGAGAAGAACGGGCAAGAAACTCAGCAAGTTTTACCCTCCCTCTACATTACAATTATTCAAAGGAAAATGTCATAAACCACAACGTCATTAAAGTTATATAAGTAAAAAAAAATAATAAACTTGTGTTCTGTGATTTACCAAATTCACCATTACACACATTCACAACACTTCAAAGATAACGAAACAAATTATAACAATATAACTAGAACTATTGCCACGCGTTTTTGTCTAGGAAGTCATTAACTGTGTAGTAACCTTTACATGTCCTACCTGACTGTCCAATGGCTAGGACAGGTGCAGCACTGAACAAATCATAGGAATGAACATAACAGAGAAACGTCAAAGAAATAATGTTAAACAAAAGCTTAAGAGACAACATTCTGTAAAATACAAGAAGTTGTTAACATAAATAAATAGTCTTTATCCAGACTAGTTACAAATGCTGTTTTGTTAATGATAATATATATACGCACATATGTTACTTAATCTTCAACGACAATATAGTCGGAGGGAGGGAAACATTTATTATTTAAAAAGTCCGGCGACATTAACACGACCTTCAGAAATGAAGAGCACGAAATAAATTAATATAGGCCTATATGGATAATTTAGCATACATAATATAATTTTTGTAATTGGTCCTGTTAAAGATGAAAAATATTCTCTAAAATAATTGTGTGGATTGCTAACCGATTATTGAGCTTCTATGTTTTATGGAACAGGGGGCAAACGGGCAGGAGGCTCACCTGTTGTTAAGTGTCAGCATGGTCAGCCCATATGTTCACCTATTATTAAATATTTTGGCAAGAAATATTCACGCATACTTATAGAAGATATCTTAAAACATACACGTTACCTTGGGAACCTGACTTTCGGGATTATATTTATATTTGGTTAACGTTTTTAAAATTCCTTACACTATAAACATTTCGGGGGCCGAGCAGCCGTGGTTAATTTCGTCAATATTTTCGTAATATATAATATATTATATCCGTAGAAGATTTAGTTAATATCACACCTCAAGTATACAAATCTAGAATTCACTGGCCTTATAATTATGTTCTATTAATATTCATAACTGTACTCGATAACTGGGTTTAAGCCAGGTGCTCTACTATATACATTTAATATAAGAAAACTTGTTTTGCAAAAAATATAGTCGTTATTAAAAGTTAACGGTTACTTAGGTCAGTAGTAAAAATCTAAATCTATTCGTATATTACTCATATATTTATTTATGTACACTTCGTTGCAAGAAGTACAGTATAAATAAAATAGTTAAAAATTATCTCTAAACACTTAAATGTTATTGGTTCTTCTCTTGACTGTTATTGTACAATGATTAACGGATGTGTCAATTATCTGAACCAATAGTTAATTAAAGGAACTATGTTAATTAATGTGTCATGAGAAAGGATGTCTACTGTTAAGTAATCTAAACCCTACCATGGCTTAATGGTTAAGCTATTATTTAATATAGATTAAGGGAGTTCATAATCCTGAACTGTAGATCAAAAAAATATCTCATATCTATAAATTTTAATTTATTTTGTACACAGTTATTTAATATTTCAGAAAATTAACAAATCTTATTAAAAGATAAATAGGTTTTATTAATATCGAATTTTTTATCTACATTATTTTCAATCTTACATTAAGTAATAATACTTAATAAATAACTTATATAAATTAAAAATGTTTCGTCCCTGTGGCAGATGAATACAATTTAATATATGAACATATCTGTACAGTCCCCAATTGGGACATCCTTCTGAGAGGCTTAACCTTTCAAGAATTCCTTAATTATTCATAGAATTGATAAGTAAGGTGTCCAACCTAGCCATTGATTGAATTGTGTACTACCCGTTAACTCACACTACTTCATTTCCCATGTGTGTGTGTTCATATGGAAAATATATCTTATACTAGCAGACCCGGTTAAGCGATGCTGTGGCTAAGGTTTTTGTTATATTACATAGTAGTAAACTATTCAAGGGAAACGGTAGGAGAACACCAGTCATGGCGACCACCATGCTTTTTTGGTCGTTATGCCATTAAATTGTAGCTTATGTGAAACGTTGGTACTTTCAACACAGCGCCATCTGTTAGAATTGTGACTATCAAATAATAGAAAAATATTTTGCAATAAAATAATATTGCGGGTATAAATTGGGATGTCAGCTATCCAATCTTTTAAGTTGGATCAAACTACACACGGTGTGCAAATTTGATTGATTTCGGTTCGGTAGTTTAGGAGTCCATAGCGGACAAACAACGTGACGCCTAATTTATATATATTAATAGATATGTTTTATCACGTTACTACATAATATAACATAATAATTTACACGTTATCTAATCTAATAATTGGGATTAGAAGGTCAAGGCCATTAAACATGAATGGCGCCAAACGCGCAAAGCGAGTTCATCAACAGAATGAACGAGAACATTGCCATTCAGAATAGACTATAGAAATTGCGTGCCTCCTAATGAGGACTTCTAGGTATTTCAAAGACATTGACTTTTAAACTGTATCGTAATAAATTTCGCATTTTAGATTGGGATACACTCTGTATGTAGTAGGTACGTTATTATACGATCGTTATAATGCGATATGGGATTAGATATATTAGGATAATTACGACCTAATCTACGTAGAATAATCCTCAATGCTCACATTTCTGGGTCGGTGCTCCCAAATACCACATTCTTTCTTTTGACCAAATTCAGCGAATGGCTTGTCGAATTGTCAATCTCCAATCGACTTGATTCTGTCTCTCTACTCAGAGACATTACGTCGATGCGTATTCTACAAAGTGTACTATGGAGTACTGAAGAGTTGTTTGGGGTGATCCCGCCTGTCTCGTTTCATCACCGAACGAGCCGTATTAACCAGAAATTTCATCTGCATCACCTTGATGGCTTTTGTGAACTAGTGAACTGTGGAATTAACTCCCGATGGGGTTCTTCTCTGGGAGATACGACTTACAACAAACCAAGCATTCTCCTCCATCAAAGGCCGGTAACGCATCCACTAAAATGGGTGTCCTTGGCCTGCGATTACTGCCCTAGATCGCCCTATGCTATAAAATAATGTATAATATAATAATAACGAAACAATTCCGAGTGAAGTTAGCAAAATGGCAATAAACAATTGAAGTAAGCGCTTTCAAAGAGGTTGACATAACCTTGACACATAAAACACTCATTAAAACAGTTCATTAAAAACTACACTTTCGGCTGAAGTGAGCATAAATATTTGGGGCAAGTATTTCAAAAAGTGCAACGTTGGTCTAGTGCCATCAGTGTGCGACTCTTATCTCTGAGGTCGTAGGTTCGATCCCCAACTGTGCACGAATAGACTCTCTATGTGCGCTATTTAACATTCGCTAGAACGGTGAAGGCAAACATCGAGAGAACACCGGCTTGCCTTAGACCCAAAAAGTCAACGGCGTGCGTTATGCACTTGGCTGATCACCCACTTGCCTATTAGATTGATAACGAATGAAACAGATACAGAAATCTAAGGCCCAGACCTAAAAAGGTTGTGTAGTGCCACAGATTTATTTATATTTTATTTCAAAAAGTAAATACAAATCGTTGGTAATTACAATACCGCAAGAAAACGTTAATATTTTTCTAGAATAAAAGAATTCTGAACTTTCTTAAAGTTTTTAAATAAAAGATTTGTATGGTTATTTTCATTATTGTTATACTTTATTTCTTTATTATATTGGACTTGAAGGTATAAATAATTGTGTGGTGGTAACTGGTAATATAATATATAGTTTTTCCGTCCACCAGCTCGTCAAACTACTATACTACTACGACTACTAATCCAAGGGTTGGGAGTTATAAATACGAGAAAAAAACTTAAATAATAGGAATAATTAGATGTCCCTAAACTAACCTCTATAATAAAAATAACTGTTTATAGGGAAGAAGAAGAAAGTGGCGCTGGTGGTCCCGGTTGGGAAGAGGTCCTTACGTGGTTGGTGGAAGTCGGGGCAGAGGGAGAAGGAGACAGCGACGGCTCTGAAGGAGAGTCTGGTAGAGGCACTGCGAGACTTAGCTGGTCAGCTAAGGTGTCTTCAACCGCAAGCAGTGCATCCACGACTGAAGAAACACCACACGAACATAGAGTTAACACTCGACTCGATATTGAGAAGGATGACATTCAGGCTGTGCTGCCCATATCTAAGGTAGGTCGTCGAGTAGAGACAGCGACGAAGAAAGAAAGAAAAGATGATGTTTAGTTAGAAGAGAAAGTACGCTAGCCGCACACTAGGATTCCCTGTGTCGTAGTCTCTTCAATTTGACATATTTTTTTATGTTACTGGAGGCAGACGGGCAGGAGGCTCACATGAACACTCGCACTGCCAGAATACTCGCAAGCGCGCTGCCGCCCTTTAAAATTATTAATGATTCTAGGTGCATGACGTAATGATTTCTACATAACACTTACAATTTTATAATTAAACTACTGTTGCACAAGAATAATACTTTCCGTTTCAGCAAAGGACAGGTTGAGAAGATTTTGTTTAAGTGAATGTATAATGTTTTTAAAGTGGTTAAAGATGAAAGGGTAGGCGAAAAAGCTTTACGCGAAGAAAGTGCGTTTTTTTGGTAGATTATATGTTTACGTTGTATATGGTGTGGTGTGGTCGATCTTTGTTTTAATATATACTCGTATAATTTGATTTTGGCATTTGGGAATCTCCCCTAATGCCCGTAGAATGTTAACCGCAAATCTTCAAGACTCTTACTGACATTATTGATCTTGTACATCAGACACTTTTATTTACTAAAAGGCTAGGTGTAAATATTTGTCAGTAATAATCATAACACTTTCTAGTTAATGGTTGTAAATTTAAAACGTTGTTATTGTTATTGTTAATATTTAGTAAACGTAACTACGTACGCCTTTTGTAGTTTTTAAAAAATCTGATAAAAATCTACTTGTAGCATTAACGAATTGATGTGGTATATCTAGTACCGAAGATTTCATTCCTACTTACATAATATAGGCTTACTATGTATATATTATACACATTATATATATGTACATATATATTCTTCTTCTTCTTTATTCTATTTCTTCTTTCTTTCTTCTTTATTATACCTACTGGTAACTTTGTCGTTGTCCGGATTTATAAATTTTGGGCTGTCATGATTTGTTTTGTTTTACTTTGCACTGAATCTATTTTTTTATTAGTGAAACCTTTTGTGGATACATCCAATGTGTTTATTTTATGTTCTTTTTTATTGTATATATGTATCTGTTTTGTTTCCAAATAAATAAATTACATTATATATATAAATAACACCAATTATGTGGTATATACTCTATTAATTAATTATTAATTTAAATATAAATAAAATCAGTGGCGTAGCCACTGATTTTATTGTGTTTCCATGTAGTTCCATGAAGTAGATTGTGTTTCCATGCGAAAACATACATTCCCCCCGGGACGAATACAGGAACTATTTAAATAAACCGTGACCATTCGAGCAGACTAAACGCTTTTATTAAAACCATTGACGCTGAACTATCAATAGCCTTTAATCAATGAAATTGATTCACATTTGTTGGAGTTTTATGGCATCACAAAATAAAAGAGACATTCAATATAATCCAGCGCTCTATCTACATGTTAATTTAGCGGTTGTATATAAATATATAATATTAATAAATGAGTACGTGCGTATAAAGTACACATGTCAGAAGTCATGACATATTTATACAAATCTAAAACTTGAGATTTCCGAGACTTGGAGGGAAGAAACAGGATAATATGTTAGGAATTTAATTGTCATTATAATATTAAAAGTGTGGAAAAACGTATAAAAACACGTGGCATTTTAACTTACAAATCGTCATTTGAGATTTCAATAAATTATTTTGCATAAAATACCTACTAATATTTTATAAATTCTCTTTACGAAATTTTAATTTTATTACTAGCATTTCTTTCGTCCTTCTCACTCTCTCTCAGTTGGTCCCAATCGCTCTCTCCCTTTTCTTTGACAAAAACGCTGCACATCTTCGTGACGCTAATATTATTTTTATTGCGTTTCATCCGTAAAAAATTTACTCTCATGCGCCTAAAGAAGTTTCACTTCAATAATAATAATAAAGCCTCATATATTCCTTGAAACAATACTATTTACAAACGTAACACACATTTATACCTATTTTTATACAAAACCATCTACAATTTTTTTCAAGGAATTAAGGGATTAAAGAAGGCTTCTAACCGGCTCCATCTCTCTCAATCTCAATCTCTTTTTCTCCCATTCTTCCCCACCTACTTCTTTAAGCTCGTCAGCCCACCTTACAAGAGGGCGAGCTCTCTTTCTTTTCTTACTTGTCTCTTTCGTTATCCTGTTTGTCTATCTGTCATTGTTAACCCGAGCGGCGTGGTCCGCCCATTTCCACTTAAGTTTTTTTTGCAATGGGATAGTGCATCAATAAGTTTTGTTTTCTTTCTTATTTCTGTACTTCTAATTCTGTCCTTTCCTTTTTAGTTCCATTCCTCGTTGTCAGAAAATATAACACAATCTATAATTGTGTTTTAAGGTCGATTTTAATCGTTTATTAAGACCAAAACATAACAATCAAATATACAGTATTTACATTTTTTAACCTACACAGTAATAATAAAAATAATATTAATATATTGTTAGCGGACTGACGTCATCTTGGAGCAGACACTTATATATAAGGCGAAGCAAAACCTGCGTTGACTCACTTTTATTTCGAGACTGAGTGCGGAACGGACGTGTTTACTACCCTACCCTCAGTAAATATTAAAAGTGTAAAAGTACCTACACGTTCTAATATTTTGATTGTTGTTTTTTGTAAATTCAATTTCGTGTGTATTCTATTGTTTTTTAATTAAATCTGCTTCTGTTAACTAACAATATAAATATTGATAAATACATCTATCTATCTACAATTGTTGAATGCAACAATTGAAACGTAATCTAAATCTAAGTCCACACGTATATAAAATAAAACATTTTTATTATGGAATATAAGATACAGGTATCACTTATTCCACGTCATTATATTTAAATCGGTAGACATCCCTACTCATCGGCAAACAAGACAGAGGTTGTAGGCCGAGAGAAAAAGCCGGCGTAAAACCTCTCGGTTCTCTTTTAAAATAGAAAATCATCAGACAAAATGACTATGGCAAACAACATTTATTTTAAAACAAATTTCGCAAGTGTGCACAGTTTTTTTAATAAATTATAAATATATGAAATTCGTCGTATGTTGCAAAATAAATTCCAGGGATGCGTTTACTAGGTTAATATTTAAACCTCAATTCGAACAAACCCTATAACAATTAACAATGATAATCGTATAGCAAGTGTCACTCTATTTCATTTAACTTTACGATATTAGGGCTGGAACGAGCTAGGCGCACGAAATTCACAATTTATTAAGACCTTGATAGTAACGATAAACTAAGAAGCCTTAATTAATGGTTCAAAGATTAGAGCCATTTTGGTAACGATAGCTTAATTGTTCGGATTATAGATTGATTTTTTATGGGTGTGATAACTATAAGTTGATTTAAGTATCTAAAGTAACTTTTGGTCGCAATTGGTCACGCAACCTTTTTATGAGAGGTTCACATAATAATCGTAGTTGAGATGTAGGTTATAAGTTATTCTACGTTCTAATTATAATTAGCAAAAATGTAATTAATACAAAAAAGAACAAAAAACAATAACTAACCTTAAAATATAATAACTAAAATATATTATTAAAAGGAGTCCCTTTAGGCAAGGTTCCAAAGATATTGGCAGGTTTCCTTTTTGAATAGCTAAATATAGCAGAAATTATATAGAGAAAAAATACTGTATACCTAGCACGGGAACCCAAGAATATATATTGCACATAAAATGTGATTTATTTTGTACACAAACGTGTGTTGAAAGTGAATTAAAATATACAATGATTGTTCAATTGGAATAACGTGCTGACTGGAGATCTTACAATCGATTGAGTACTCCGTTTTCGAGAAGAACGCTATCTGCGTTCTTGAACATGTCTGTTAACCACTTATTCATAAAATCTAAATCAGTCTTATTGTACGGTTTCAACTTAGTCGTCTCTTTTCATCATAGCGTAAACACAATTTCGCAAAAAGAGTCAAAAGGGTTTTATTTATTTATTTTAACTTAATTACATTAAAAGACAAACAAATTAAAAAAAATATTCGGGATGCAGCCGTCGGCCTTATCGCTAACAAGCGATCACTTCTATGCAACCCTAGTAAGGAATATACTAAAAATAATATATTAAGGGTAAAGTGTAAGAAGTGCATAACCAAATCCACAAAAATAAAATTATAAGTAACACTGAAAAATTATATAATTAACAAACTTAATAATAAACCAAAAATCTAAAAGTTAATCTCACGGTTCATGATTTACAATGTAATACAAAAGAATGATTAACTTTATAGCCTGTATTTCCTTCACTTTTAAAATTATTATTGAACTTATATTCATATTTATTATTTTTAAATCTTAAAATACATTTATGAACCAAAATCAATCAATTTAAAAGCGCCGTTGAATACAGTAATTTCGTGATAAATTTGTGTGGTTACTGTCAAACAACTTATCGATAGCCATAATGTAATATAAAATTCAATCCCATTTATTTGTAAGTCATTTGTGGAGTGGAACAATTTAAGGTGCCAACAAACCTATAGCTGGGACAGACATTTATGTCTGTTAACTGATTACTCATGTGTTCATTTTATAAATTCTAACAGAAACTTCGGGCTTTACCTTAACACTAGTGTTGGCCTAGTGGCTTCAGCGTGCGACTCTCGTCCTTGGGATCATAGGTTCGATCTCCGCCTGTGCACCAATGGGCTTTCTTTCTATGTGTGCATTTAGCATTCGCTCGAACGGTGTAGGAAAACATCGTAAGGAAACAGATTTAATTATAAACTTTTATCTGTGCTTATTTAACTTATTTCGAAATTCGTAGTATTTGACTTCAAAAAAGCAGTCAGTCTTCTCCAAAGAACTTATCTAATCGGTAGTAACTTTAATTTAACAACAGTACTTGGAAGTTTATTAATCATTTCTCAGTAGTTCTATTAAGCCTCAGGGTGATAGCCGTTTCATTGATGAACAAAACTCATTTCCTTATAAACAGATAATTTAAATAGTCATATGAATTGAACTGAGACCTCTCTTAATTAATATGATATCATTTCAATGGAAGTGCCGTTATCTCTCTTGTTAATTATGTGTCTTTAATGATGTAAGATGTGAATATAACCTGTTTGTTATCAGAGACATTAATTTTTCTCTCGTACTGTATTTTTTTTATTCGCCGCAATGGCAGGCTGAGGTTTTTTGACTAAAGGACAGGCTGAGGTCTTTTGACTAAAGGGCAGGCTGAGGTTTTTCGACTAAAGAGCAGGCGGAAGTTTTTCAACTATACCGCCCTTTACTGTTATGTTACAGGCTCGCGTGCATTATTAAAAATTTATTTTCCTACACCGAGATGTATTACGCTTACGCTAGAGAAATAAAAATAGTTTCAATATTTAAGTACATAGTATTTAAAAATGTATTTGGCATATTATGTTGTAATAACGAATATGTTTGTTTTACATATCTTGTTATGTATAAACCGTTACATAGGAAAATAACAACATTAAAATTATCTTTATATAATAAGAACACCAATTATTTAAGTTATTCAAAGATAAGATAAAAAACAGTCAAGATGCAATGATGCAACACGTGAAGATGCAATGCGAACATTTAAAAGTTCAAAAACCACCAACTTTTACAACTTGTATACATTTAGTAATCGTCCTGTGTATAAAATTAGAAAAATATGAGAATAAATAAAAATATGAGGTAATAATAAAACATATTGATACAATTATACACAGTTATCTAAAAAAATCTTTTATATTTTCAGAATTGGGAGGTACTTAACACTGCGGTATTGACCGGACGACAAGTGTCCCAAGCCATGAAGGTTCTAATTGTATCGCAGGCCGGTCAAGTTGCTGACGTCACACTGCAAAGCTCTTGCCATTCGGAGGACGAGAGTGTCCTTAAGGTACGTCAATTTGTGTAGGCGTCCTTCAATTGATTGGAAGCTATCAGTTAATATTCTATTAATTTGCTTTGTGAGCCGAATATCTTAGGGAAATATAAGTATCACCCGATTGCATCCAATTATGGATGCTTTTCTTGACATCACTTTTGACCCTTTGTCAGTGTTATGTAAGTCGAACTTCGTTTCGCCTTAATATGGGTTTTTACTATCTGTTCGGTTTTCTGGAATAAACATCTAAGTAACTAAATAAAACTATAAAATATTTTTTTCTAATTTTTCATTATTTTCCATAAAAACGTTCCTATTGTTCAAGGAATACATTTCAAAAAAGACTCGACTTGATCCAGTCGTCAAATTTTAGTTTAAATAATGACGTTGAAGTCGTAAGTGTATATAGTTTAATTATAGGTAAACATATAATATATATTTAAACTTACTAAATACTTATTCTAACAGGTATCATCATCGTGCAGTTCCGTATACGTTGATGGTTCCGAAATTCGTGGATCGTCGAACGCGTCTGTGATTGTCAAATATGGAACCTACACAGGCCTCGCTAGGTTCACTGTTTGGATGCCGGAATATCCTCTGGAAATTGACGTTGATGACAACCGACTATCACAAGTTAAAGGTAATAAAATTACAATATTCCTGAGTCATTTTGTATCTTGATAAAGGCTCAGATATATACAAATTTCTTTGTGTAAAAGAAAAAACGGAAAATTGTCCTAAAATTAGTTAAACTTCGCTTTTTAACGTTACTCATAACAAATATATACGTTTTAGGTGTGGGATTAATGAAAGACGTTGAGGAGTTACGCTTGAATGTGATTGGTCAATCTCTAATCCAATCACAGACACACGACACGTTTTGACGTTCCGTCTTTCTAATCAAGATAATGCGATATGCGCCATAGTTTCGACTTTCGTTTCAAAAGTTAACCTTTTTTATGAGAATTTTTTTGTTTTTTTAAATAAAGTACTTAAGTTGTGTGAGATTTTAAACTATTAAAATTATATACATCGAAAAACGGCATGTAGTATTCAGGTCAAGCATTAGCTTAACGCAAAATAAAGTATTAAAATTATTTTCGGCATTTTTCAACAATGTTTCAATTTGTGAAAGAAGCAGAAACATATTTATTTTAATGTGAATAAAGTAGCGTAGTTATAATAGATATACATATATAGATAATTAGGGATAAAGAGAAAACGGAAAATTCTTCTATCAATTATAACCCAGTTGAAGGAAAATTTCATATAAAACGAATATGTGTCTTCTTATATCGAACCCATTATACGGCTTGTTTACTCAATATAAACAAAAATGGGAGCGAAAAAACGTATAACCGAAAACACAAAGGCTCAGTCGAATGAAAATTCAATTACCAGCAGCGAACATGTTTCATGTATAATTCAATGTGTTATTTTCACTGTATTTTAAAATCAAAGAAACGTTATAGGTTAAATAGAATCCATATTTTATCTTATGCTAATGAACAACGTCAAACTTTATTAAGAAATTAAATAGGACAAGGCCATTCTTGGAGGGTTTTCTTAAGTTAAAAGCCTTGGAATAAACTAAAATCGAGAGTAGATTTGAATTTTAAAATATAATAAATTCTTTTTAATTAAAGTCAAATATTAGATAATTAGAATTACTATATCAATTGCAGCGGAAACTCTATATAACGACACTCAAGGGACTGTGTCTATTTTGACGTTAAAAAGAGTTGGAACTCTCGTTAAATGGAAAGATAATGAAAGTTTATTTCAGACTAGTGTTAGTAATTACATAAAAACTATTCGTATTTGAACGCTATTGCGTTGTCTGTTATTTTGTACTGTACCAGTAGTTAGGTTGTATTTTTTACTTATTTAATTCATATCTTGCGATATTGAGGCATCTTCGTGATAAAGCACATAGAAAAAGTAACAGATTTATTGGAAAGTTCGGTACGTATGACGAGTTTATTTCTCGCTAGGACAATAAAGCGACAAAACAACGTACACAGCTCCGCAGTTTTAACTAATTTCGCAACTTAAATAGTAATTTTTATTATTGTCGTTATTGAGGGTGGGTGTATTGTCTATGTAGAGTGTATAATTGTAAGGAAGACAAGCTAAACCGACCAAAGCTGAGTGATTTCGACGCTTTAGGGAGTTTGTCCTTAAATCTAATATTATATAATATCGAGACCTGTCCGTTTTCTTTTCTACCTTTTAATTATGTAAGACAAATTTGCACGTCTTTATGTGTGACAGAAGAGTTTAGATCGTACTACCATAATATTTTTGTCCTGTATTCTTGCAAAAAAATTATGGCACAGGAGGCTGATTACCTACTTGCCTACCGATACAGAAATCTGAGGCCCAAGACCTAAAAAGGTTGTAGCGCCACTGATTTATGAATATTATTTGATACATTAGATTCCTAGTTGTCGAACTTTGAATAGCTGACATTCTAGAAATCACAAACTGTACCTAGAGTCGTTTATTAAGAGTTAACTGTTACTTTAGCTGTTTAGTTATGTTCACCATAGGTTTGATTGGAAGCCAAAATCTGTTTTCGATTATTCAATTTCGTAGCTAAGTTCATTAGTTTCTATTACTAATTTTAATAAATGACCTTAGTTTTTTTGAAAAATTCTCTCATAACTCACACAGCTTTTAAAAAGTTTCCTTGTTAAAACATGTTGTTCGTTGGAGGTCTAAAAATCGGCATATTTTTTGATATGTCAACGCAACCTACATTCCATATTGACCTAGATGCATTGTTTGCAGGTTGGAAAGTTTTAGATGAAACGAACGCTAAGGACAGATTAAAACGGTCTTTGTCGTCGAGGGGGTGGGGTGCCTCCAGACCCGATGGCCCAAATGGACTCACTGATCAAAGATCTTGCAGACTCCGTTATCAACAGAGCAATGTCGAGGTACGTTACTTTCATTGTATAGTTTTTATACTTTGATATATTTTTGTGTTTTAATTTTGATACTTGAATTCACGCTTAACTGATACTCAATGCGATTTAATATATGTTTCTGAATATAGCAAATTCTCTTAGTCTTAGGGTTCGATTATTAGTCCCTCATTACCCTCTTTGATCAACGTTTAAATAATAGATTGTAAAAAAATGTTTGAAGGCCATATCTATCGTCATAAAACATATCTATTGTCTGATTTCCCATGGGTGTCTTTTATAATATTCATATCGAAATCGGTAAATCGTTAACTGCTAAAGTGTTGGATTTTTTAAATCAGTATTATGCTTATGAGTTGTGAAATCAAAGATATAGAGAAGTACTCCTCAAGCCTGGAACAAAATATTTTGTGTTCCCCCCCGTCTAATAGATATACTACCGTTCACGTCCCACGTATTTAAGGTTATGTTTTCCTATTAATTATTGTTTATTACAATATATTGGCCGATAGACTTGTGATATAGTTTAATCTATACTAAAACAAGTGTAATGTGATTCGCTTCGAGTTTCCTTTTTAATCTAAACTAACAAATATTATGAACACAATGATTGTGGCAACACTCACACATCACATGCATGATAATGCATATGATTTTAATTTAGAAATTACAATTTTGTTAATTTAAATTAGTAACATGTTGATGTCAAATTTGTTTTCTATTATTCCGACTTAAGGTCTTATATCCATGGCCATGTAAAAAAAGCAGATTAACTATTTGAATTACGAATGAAAGTTCATATATTGAGTGTGACGTAAGTGGTATGCGATTCGATTCAGGTCACTCTGAAACAATAAAAGCAGCTTGACCTAGCCTTGTGTCGATAAATTGAAGTCAGCAGTTCTAAATTTGTGTCTAAGATTGGAACAGAACTCAATTAGTGACGAGACAAAGAATTAAATTAAGAGTTTAACTTTAATAAAAATAACGGTTCCTAATATATGAATACAAGTTACCGAACACAATGTCACATGCTTCTAAGCAAATTTCTATTTTCTCGTAATTATATATTGTTTTTTTATATGTTAAAAATTATTTTAGTTATATTTATAGAACAGGAAGCAAACGAAAAGGCTCGCGAGTGCATTGCCGGCCTTTCAAATTATTTGCCTTATTTCCTTTCTTGAAATATACTTGATGTTGGATTGTTATAAATTTAATATATAATAATCCCGTTAATGGTATACTATATATACCATATATAATTATAATTTTTCTCTCTCCGCTGGCTCTGCGACCCAAAGAAGACCCGAAACCCGAAACTTCCAGCGGTCCCTGTCTTGTACCCCGCCAATTTCGGGCTTTAACCTGTAGCAGGTCGTCCTCCACTCCGTCGATCCAGCCGTATCTAGACCGACTCTATATTTTAAAATGTGTAATACTCCCGTATTTTTTTAAGGTGGCTTTTTTCCACATGATTGGTTGATTATATTACGCAAATGTAAGCGGCTTTAAAACTTTACATGTTAAATAATATTGCTAAACATTTGCAGTCAGATATTTTTATTTTGACGTAATAAATCATTCCTAATCTGTGTCAGCACATTTTGCATACTGGAAGATAGCCAATTTACGCTTTAGACAAAATAAGTCCGACATGATTTTGTCTTCTTACTTCCTGAATACTTATTTGTTTATGTTATTTTACTGAATAATATTAATGATTAATTATCTAAAATAAACGCACTTTAAGCTTCAATTATTTAAAGATTTTTTGGTCACTGTACGACAAAGAACGATTCGGTGGCTGTTACACAATTAAAACTTAAAATAATACATTTCGTACATACTTCGTTTAAGAAAGGCACACAATTGTCAGTTTTAGTATGGGAGCAATAAGACCTTAGACTGATAATTTAGTAACTAACATTTTGCCTTGAAATAATTAAAATTCGCACACACACTCGCAAAAAATTGAAAAATTGTGGGCGTAAGTAATAAAAATAATATAATCAAATTCAATGCGTCTAGCATAACTCAAGCGAAATATAAAAGCAAGAGAATGAAATGTGATTGGCAGAGTTAAATTATAAAATATTAAATACAATGTATTTCGATCACTCACGTTTATTCCTAACCAAACCATAATTAATAAATAAATATGATTTGGATAGAAACGCAAATCAATTATATTCCAATTCAAATTCATTCATTTAGGTAACACAATGTACACTTATAAACGTCAATGAAGAAATACATATTAAATGCTTCTAATTTTACATTACTGCCAGTTCTCAAATCAAGGGCGTAGAACGGACGAGAAGAACTGGCAATAAATTCTCCGCCACATAACTCGCCGTTTCGAGTAAAATTTAAAAGTTTCATTCGAGTACAGCTAGTCCCTTGTAATTCGCATTTATCTGGTGAATAAGTATTAAAAGGAGTACTGTCGTACTGAAGACATTATTGAATAGCTTCGGGGTTAAGGCTTAGTATAAATAAGGGGACCCTTTTCCCGATGGAAGCCTTTTTTACCTGCGAATCCAAATTAAACTTAACAAAATCAATCATGCAATGTTAATCAACTTATTCAATGTTAAAATAATTTAAGGTCTAAAAATACAATATTATTATTGAAGAGGAAAAGCATTTTAGTTTCGTCATAGACTCAAAAATAAAGGGACCATAATTAAGAAATTCTATTATAATCGTACTTGAATACCAATTGGTTGAATATGGCAGGTATTCAACGAAGAGCGGTTCGAATCGTCGACGACCAATACATTTCCGAGCGGCTAGATCCTTTGGCTTTGTGTAGTCATGTGGGGTCATTCTGCATCTTCTATCGAATTTACCACGGAGAGTGTTCATAGGATTTGTTTCGATACCCTCAGCTGTTTTAACAGCCGGCAACGCACTCGCGAGCCCTCTGGAGCTGAATGTGTCCATGGGCGGCGGTATCACTTACTTCGATGTGCCTCCTGTTAACATATACACATATACATATATATTCACAATGTTTTTGAAAACCCAGCCTTGCGAAATCCGTTGGAATATAACGAGAAAATTTTAATATAAATTTTTTTAGGTGTACGCGAGGTTTCTCGCCAAGGACCACGATTCAGGTCGAGTATCGTACTTCGTGTCTCGGCGTACTTGGCTCAAAGTGACAGAGCTTGTGCTATCACTTATGCGCGTGTCTGATCCACGGATTGCCTCGCTAAGGAATCGTGTGCTGCAAGGACGAAGCACTGGCCGGACAGAAGTACAAGTGCTGTCACCTATAACAGGTATGTTATTTCTACACTTATATATTTGGCTTTTAATGTCCGATGTACGTAGTACGATGACGAAAGTAGTCGGGGTATGCGGGACCCACAGAGAGATGCTATTCAGAGACTAGGTGGGCAATACCCACAAATCCACCTCGAGTACAAGCCACGTTATAGGCTCTAGGATCGCTATCTTAGGGCTTAAAAATGCTTCTCTTTTGACCGATGTGTTTAGGAAAATGTTGTTCACCTAAAGCGCAATACATAATTAATGACAGGACGACAACTGACACGAAAGTAGCAGGGGTATATGAGACCCATATAAATCTGCTATTCAAACACTGGGTGGACAATACCCACAAATCCACCTCGCACGTCAAGCCGCATTAGGGATTCTAGGGTCGCTATCTTAGTACTTAGAAATGCTTCTGTTTTGTCCGATAATGTTTTAAAAAGAAACGATTAATCTTTGCCGCACACCGAGCGCAATACATAATTAATGTTAGAACAATGGACACATTTGTATATACAATACATTAATATATAATTTCACCACATTCATGCACTCTACATTAAAGGTGTCGCTATTAAAATTGAGGTGTTTGCAGTATAATATTTCAATAATAATAACAATACAGTTACACAAAAGACTGACTATGTTTCCTTTGTTTTAAAGAGTTTTTAAATTGTATCTGTGTGTATTAACCTGAAAAAACCTACGTAAAATGTCCTAGAAAACCTAGTACGTTAATAATTGTAGTATTCCGGACGCAGTAAACAGTCATTGTTGTAGAAAAGCTCAGTACATAATTACAACAATTATTCCTGAGGAATACTTAACGAGAAATGTTGGCTGTTTAAAATAAGTAGGAAAGTTAAGGATAGCAAAGGAACTTATGCATAAATGTTAAATACATTCGTAAATTGTTTAAATTTAAAAGCATTTTGTCTATAGGTAGAAAACAAAAAATATTTTTAATCTGTCATAGATTAACAGCGATTATTGTAATATTGGCGGGCTAAATTCTCTATTTTAATATACATTTTCCCAAATATTTTTGGTCCCAAATATGGAAGTGGTGTGTATATATATTACAATTAAAAATATATGGCAAATCAAAGAAACCGCAATAATTAACGGTTGGAACTGATTTGACTTTGTTAATCTGTATTGACATACTATTACAATGGCAGCTGACAGTAACGCCTTTGCTCCGACACATAAATACATTATTATTTTAATATAATGGTTATAAAAAACCGGCATTCGTCTGACTTTTAATAATAATGCAGGTCTAAGCTTTCACAATTTTTACAGGACGTGTTATTGGACTTCGCGAAGTACGGGTGGTGAACGACAAGGTATCGATTACTCGACTCTTGGTTCGTGTCATATCAGGACTGCAGTTGAACATATCGCCTGACACGGCTATAGAAAACGGATATGTATCAGAGACTACGGTTACACGGCGTTTAACGGCTCAATATCAGGTTAGTTTTACAATACTTTCACATTTCTAGTTTACTCAAATACGGTTTCTGTTAAACATCGATTGATAGAAATAATCATAAATTATAAATTTAAATGTTGCCGGTAGGTAGAAAATTAACCTTGTATTAACAAATACATGATGTATTTATAAAAAGAGAGCAAGGAGGCTATTTGACGATTACGGAGTATGCTTGTATGTCTTTGCCCGTCTAATTGTAATACTATCTTCGGGTTTAATTTCGTCGGTGATTGTTTTTGATTGATACGTGTTCGATGCGACGATCTTGTCTAGAGATACCTTTTGACGGGTTCTTAAAATTTACGAATTTTTGAAATGAATTTTTAAAGCGTAAATAAATAAGAAGGTTTTATCAATACGTTTTGATTTTGACACGCTATCTCAACACTTATGGACGTCTTTGAAATGATTTTTTTTATGGCAATAGTTTTAGCTTTAGGTATGTCAGTTTCAAAATGATGTTTTAGTTAAATTTAGATTTACGTTCTATTTTTAAATATTTCAATTGGTAATTCCAGGAAGGCCTTCTTGACATAGACATAGAGTTCTCTGACGGCACTCACACGGCTCTGCGAGATGTGGCAACAACAGACTACCACTTACTAGTTGAGAGTTTAGACATTGAAGTGGTTGCGTTTGCGCCGATGTTGGCGTCAGTACATCCAAGGGTCATTGCTGTTGGTGAAGGTATTATTGCTTTAACACCGTTGTAGATATAAAAATTATTGCGGTAAGGACACGCCTTTCAAACCTATAGAACCAGTGGCGCTTCAACCTTTTTTAGGTCCAGGCCTCAGATTTCTGTATCTGTCATTTGTCAATCTAATACACAAATAGGTGATGAGCCTCCTGTGCTTGGGACACGCCGTCGACTTTTTGGGTCTTAGGCAAGTCGGTTTCTTCACGATGTGGTCCTTCACCGATCACGCGAATGTTAAATGCGCATATAGACAGAAAGTCAATTGGTGGATCGAATCTACAACCTAAAGGATGAGAGTCGTATGCTGAAGCCATTACGAAAACACTGCTCTTTCGAACCTGTAGGTTATCAAAAAGTTCATAGATATCCTATATACCATAAATTACAGATATCAAGACCACACAATTAAAACAATAATTTTAAATCTGGTAACTTTGTTTCTGCATTTCACAATTTTTCTTTACCGAATTCTTTTTTTTAAATTTGGAACAATCGAATCTAACGTGATTTGTACTTAGCCACGCAAGCGTTTAATAAAAATAAATATACCTGGAAATATAATCTATATAATCGTGCTGATAACGGGAAGGTCGCGTTTTCGATACCGTCATGGGCCACCATTGTTTAGGAAATGACTAGGCCGGTAAATAAAACTCTTTAGACTTCTTGTATAAATTGTATTATTCCTTATATGACTTTCGCAAGCGAAGTACATTTAGAAGTGATGGCGCACGTCGCCCCACCTTACAATAATAATTTAAATTTGCGCCTGGTATAAAATTTGCGCAATGACGCAACACGGTCGGTGATTTGAAAAATAGCCACGATTTCTAAAGTCTGTAATTCCATTTTCAAACCTAAAACTTCAATACATCTACAATTTATTTATTAATTATCATACAATAATGAATTAAGAGTTTCTATCAATTATTTACAGGAAGCGGAGAACTCTTACGCGTGACTCTATTAACACCTGATCAGTGTCGCTCTGGGCCTATTCGTCGCGTGGCATTACCAGGCAAGGGTGACGCGAAGACCCCGGCTAACATCAAGAACATCCCAGGAGCTTTAGCCACGGCCGCGGCCAGCGTCGACGTGGACTTCAGCGGAACTGACTCCCCTCAAAGACCTGACACACCCCAGAATGATGATATCATGGCTAGAGGAGGAGTTAGGACTGGAATGAATGATCTCACTGATCTACTTAAAGGTTAGTTTTCCTTAAAGTTAGGCCAAACACGTGTCGTACAGTGGCCTATTAAAGATGTTTATACAGGAGCTTATCTCATAGGCCAGCAACGCACCCACAAAAATGGGTGTCCATGGGTGGCGACGACTGTCCATAACTGCTTATATGCTAAAATGAGACCCCATGACAGTACCAACCAAATATACATTTATAATATTCAGCGAATATGAAGGATGGCAACCCATCCACTGACGTGGGTGTCAATAGGTTGCGGTAGCCGCCTTTTATTACCTCTCGTAGGCTCGTTTCTTTTTAATGAAACACATATACAACTTTATACTCTAATGAAACACATAATACACAGAAAGACAATCAAAACTATGTAGCCATTTAAATAGTTTATAACCTATTAACATTATTTACTATTATGTATTATATAAACATAGTTGATAGGTCATTGTCTAATATTATATAGGTATGTTATTGTCGTCTTCATACTTGGATACTCACATATCGAAATGGATCGATTTTAACGAATAACGTAATACTTAATTCTAAAAATACAGGTCAACCTTTAACTTTTAAAATATAGGTAAACCCTTTTTTAAACTCGGTTAAATTGTTGCAGATATATCGCGTATAAAGGACGAGAACAACCATAACCCAACGGTACAGGCTCAGCAGTACGGCTCCATCCATCGGCCTAACAACGGCCATCCGCGACACGTCGCACAGAAAAATGAATCTCAAGTTCAAATAGGTAATACATTGCCATGTTAAAAAATTTTTATTATAAAGTTTAAAATTTGTTCATAATGATATAAACTAGATATAGATTTAATTATCACATTTTATTATATTAGATAAAAATTTATATATTGCAAAATTGTTGTGTTAACTACCATTTTTTAAGTAATTAAGTAAATAAAAAAATAAAAATGCTACAGGAGATGCTTTATTTTTTTAATTTCAGGAATGTCGATACTTCTTGGAGCGTTTTGTTTTGCAATAATGGTAAGTTCTAACATTTTTACGACTTTTTTGAATACATATATATATCATCATTTTTTTTTAAATAAATGTAGTATGTATTACATAAAAGTTGATTCACTTTATGCTGTAAAGGTTAATTCCCTGATGTGCTAAGTCCAACGTTTGACGTTAACTTACGAAAAATCTCGATCGACTCGACTTTTGATTTCACCATGTCTACTGCAGATTGAGGCTAATCTTTTGTTTTTATTTGTGTAATTGCTAGAGTTCGTAGGAGAATCGACGTAATTTTTATGCGTCATTTCATTTATTGAACAAAGTTGCATACTTTTTTTTTTCATTTGAAGTATCAAGATATTGTCTATAACTGTCAGACTGACATAACATTGTTGTCAACATAACAAAAAATGTTATTTATCACTGCAGCGACCTCAAATCCCACGATCTCTTTTCGCACAGACTAGCAAGCATCTCGTAAATTCAAAGGGTGATTAAAAAAAGTGACGGAGTTTTCTCCAATTCTTTTCGAAATCTTCATTAAAATTAAATGCAATTTCAGGTATTCGTAGTATCCTGTGTGGTGTACGCGTATAAGTTGAGGAAGGTGAATTCGGGTGGATGTAGCCCAGGTGCCACTGAGAACGGAAGGCTGCAGGTGACGAGCCTGGTTGGCACCACTTTGGGGCTGGTCAAGGAGAAGCCTGTCAGGGAATCTACTACCAACGCTCATGACTGGGTGTGGTTAGGTAAATATTTTTTTATAATTATATACTTGACAGATTTGTTGATAAACATACTAACACACTGACGTATCTACGAGCTTGGAATCCTATTTTTTTTTTAAATATTATTTTGAGACTCAAACATAAAAATCATACTGCATATCTTTTTAAAATTAGTTAAGAATTATAATAGCGATAAAAATATTTTTATTTAATTAATTATAATTATTAACTATCAACAACACATTCCAGGCCGGGCGACGATGGAAAAGAATGGAAATCGTCATCCAGTAAACCGGAACTCGACCCAACCCGACAATACCCAAGAGATGCGCATCACCAGCAACCCTCTGAACTACAACTACGTGGACCCAGAAGACGCAATCCGGGAGAACGTGATGGTGACCAGCTTCGACAACCCCAACTCCATCGAACTGCCTTCACAGACCGAAAAGCGGGTCATCGACACCACCACGTACTGCAAGAAGCCCAAGCCTCAGAACTCCGACGGTCATTGGCAGTAAGATTGTCATTGCCATCATTGCATGCGTCATAAACACACATTGTACATTTTTAGACTATAGATTAAAATGCCTAAATACACGCACAGAGTACCAATTGATATAAAATACACCAAAGTCCAATAATTTTTAGAGACAGGTAAGTACGGTGTGTACCATTTATATGATCGGATCAGTGGTAACAAACGGTACTCACTCTCGTTTAATAAGGCCAAAAATGTCGCTGGAACAGTGGCACAGACTACATACCACATAGTACATACTAGAAGAGATAGATATTTTAAAGAGTTTTTCAATTTTCAATGTAATTGACTTGATTACGAGTAGAAATGTCGGATAAAATCTATAAACAATTATAATTTTTTTACGATCGCGTATAATTTTACTCAGCAACAGAAAACTTAAAAGAAATAAACTTCATCTGTCACGGTAATGATTTTAAGATTCGCCAGCGTCAGGATATTATAAATTTCAAACTGCCTTCTTTTGCTTTTAGTAGTAAAATACAACAATCTTTTAAAAACATTAAACGATTTATAAACGCGCCAGTAACCTAATTGATAAGTAATACCGTACTTCTACTTCTTCCGTCAAATTTGTCAATCTGTGGGTAATCTTTTAACCAATTTCGTTGTCTATGGTGGCCTTCATTACGATATAACTTATTAATTAGAATTTAGTGCCTTTAATTAAATATTTACTAAAATATTACACATGAAAAGATGAATAAAATAGATTTTCCTTAACCAACACATAAAGATAAAATAAATCAGTGGCGCTACAACCTTTTTTTTTAGGTCTGGGCCTCAGATTTCTGTATCAGTTTCATGCGCACATAGAAAAAGTCCATTGGTGCACAGGCGGGGACCTCAGGGATGCGAGTCGAATGATAAAGCCAACTAACCTACACCTACCTGATTTATATAAACTAAATCAGTCTGATATTCAGAAACGAGACGTAGGGTGCCTCATATGTCAAAATCAAATACATTTTTGACGTACATTCAGAGTCAAGACTACGTCTGATCTAACTCTAATATTCTTTTAACCGAAGTACTTCAATTGTAAAGTAGAAACATGAGAACTTTAGTTAAAACTGTGTGGACTCATCTTATAAACTTATAATACTTATTACTATTACATTTTATTTTGTGGTTGCTTGTTTAATTTTTGCTAGATTTTAATTTTAGATTTTATTTTTATTGATGTCATATTTTCTTGTATAATTTTATGCATACACGTTGTTTTAGAACTTTTAAATAAAATATACTTTAGATCATGCTTTAGTTGAAACGTATAATAATTAATAAAATTGAAATAAGGGATGTCAGTCTGGAGCATAACGGATGGAATGTTTCAGGGATGCGACTGACGACTACCGCCCCCCTGTTCCGCCTCACAGACATACATCGACTCCTCAGCCCCAGGTCCCTCTGCCGCCACGACATACCAATAAAGTAAGTTTTAGATTTCTTTTTTTACCTAATGAATGTATTAAGCGTTTGAACAATATTGTAACAACTATTTTTCAGTATATTTTAAGCAAAAAGTTTATGATAAATTTTGAAATGAATTTATTTTAATAAAAAAAAGTGTAAGTTTTATTACATAAAATGTATATATAAATACATACAAATACTATACCAGGGGCTTGATACAAAATCATTTTTCGGCAGGCGTGACCCACTAACGCCAAATAAATTCGTAATAAATTGAAAATGGTCACGTGACAAAGCGTGAGCATTCTTATCGAAAAATAATTTTGTCTCAAGCCCCAGGTCCGCTACTTTGTAAATTTGTATTGATTTTAAAAATGTATTGACTATAATTATGTAAAAAAATAGGTCTGACTCAAAAATGATGACGTCATCTATCGCCGACATCCAAGGTCGGCTTTCAATATCTGTAGATGTCGCAAAAAAAAAGTCTTGGAAGATCGCTGCAAGCTGTAAACAACCAAAAATATACTTTTTGCGATATTTTTTCCTAATATTATAACTTTTTTCTAAAAATAAGATTTTAAGATGTTGCATATTTTAGTCTTACTGTAAAACATTTTTTTTAGATTTTGCCCGACACCGTCATGCCACCATCAAGGCGAAGTCACTCCAGGAATCACCACAAGAAACACGAACGCGAGCATGAGTCTGCCAAACGATCTCCGGAAAATAATCGCCAGCCAGACCGGTACGTTGTTTGGACATTGGCCATGGGACAGATATAATAAACATTTACTTAAAACGAAGATATATAATTTGTTACAAAAATAACTACACAATTTTTTTTCCGTAATAGTCCAAAATAACTAAAACTTACCTGTTTTTTTGCTATTAAGTAGTTTTGTATGAACATTTTGTTTTTTACGAACAACCGTTAAAAATGAAGTCCAAGTTGAAATAGTTAAATCTAGTTTAGTATGTATTTGTCAAACCATTTAGTCTTATTGCAGTGTCAAAACATTCTTCCGTCCCCCATTTTTGCTAGAAAGAGACGTAACATAAGTTTGTCTCTTTAATCAAAAATGGTAACAATAATAAACAGTAAACATACTGTCATACATATTACGAATATTCTTTTCCAACAAAATATTCCTGTATTGTTCCAGAATTATTGATTTAAACAGAACCGATTCGCCATACATGACCCGAGACCTGAAACGCGACTCCTACCCATTACGACTCCGCAACGACTTCGATGACCCAATGGAAAAGCTCAATAAAGACGACTGCGCCAGATTGTTCGAGTTCGACACCGATGCTCCCCTCATCATGGAGAATAAGGATTATCGAGAGATCGTCGGCCTCAACAGAGGAACGGACGACTCGAGACGCACCTTTACGAAGCCCGAGAGCCCGGACTATATGCACGATTCTGGAATCGGTAAGGATATTGGGGCAAAAATTCTGTAAAACACGCTTAGTAAGATGCCAAAATTCGATTTTAACGACATTTGATGATTTCTTTTGAGAGCAGAGATTTAAAAAAAAATATTATTTCCTTTCGTGTTCGAACCTTTTTGTATAGATTATGTAGTCCATCTGTGGCTATATGTTTAGTATAATTTATTTGTATTGTATACAATTTATGTTACTTAGGATTATTAAATAAATAAAATAAATTTACAGGCCTACCTGATATGCAAGTACGGCATAAGAATAAATCAAAGGATGGAAATGGCAAAGGCGACTTCGTGGAGCTGTCGAATCAAAACAAAGGTATTTTAAACTAAATTTTTACATAGGATTAAAAAAACTAGCTACAACCTATGGGTTTCTACGTTTTATAGATAATTCTTTATAGACGTATATTAATGAGAAAGTCTTTTATTTAATTAATTAAGTTTTGAATCCGAATAATATTTCCCAAAAATTTCATAAAATTTCAACCACAATTGACAATAAAAGGTAAACTGATAGGTAATAAGATACTTATTTTACACTTTGTTGCATTACGAACCAATAAGAACACTGGAATAGTTAGAAGGCCACTTGTTCTACTTTAATTTCGTGAAAATTATGAAGAAAAAAATATAGACCTCTCTAGATGTTTTTGTTTTACATCTGTTGTATTGAGATTCAGTTTTATAATTTTCGAGTGACAGTCATAAGTTGACGAGAATGGCTGCTTCCGTCGCAATACTTTTTAACAGGCGAGTAGGAATCCAGAAGTGCTGGGATAAGGGAAACTCTGGGTTTTTGATGGATAGTTTTGCTAATGGTTGACAAAAATATTTGTCTGCATTTAATACTAAAAACTCGTTAGTAATCGGACATATACCTAACAGTGAACACTTCGCCAGAGGTGAAGCGCGCAACGATCGTGGGCAACCCGATGTTCTCCCGCGGCGCAGGAGGGGCAGGGGAGCCCCCCGTGGAGTCCCTCGGCATCGACGACTTGCACATGGACTACGATCAAATCATGCATTATTTCCATAACCTTAAGGTATAAACACACCGTCCCACGCTTCTAGTTTAGTCTCGCTTCGACACGGCGTACTTATGAATAGAGCCTTTTGAAACGTTTACTAGTTTTATACGTATCGTGTAATAGCGTCATTTCATCCGTAGCTAGCCTTCTAGAGTAGTTCACATTTCAAAGATGACTTTGAATTTTTCAGGAATCGAACGCCTGAGTAGAGCAGATCATTGCAAAGATCCGGCAGGTATTGTCTACGTTTAATTATCAGCATATCACCCAAGCTCCAATCGACGTATTCAATGCACCCACCGGTCAGGTGGAGGATACCAATATTGACTCGCAAAAAATGTCGAATGTCGCACCCAATGTGCTCTGTGACTCGATCGCTCAGAATAACCACTTTATGAAGCGACATCTCGAGTTCCTCTTGGGAAACTTGAGCGAGGCGTACGAATGAATTGTCGGTCAATATTATCCTCTACGCAAATGGATCCTTGCAGTGATCGAAAGATATTTTATACTAACGTTTAACGTATTTACTCTAGTCATCAAAGTTGCACTCGTGCATAATACTCAATATAATCGCGTTAACTGTCTATTTAAACTTTGGTCTACGGAATACCAAATTAAAATTGCATTTTGTCTATGTACATATTTTCCATTGAAGATGTGAAAACGCTACCTCACTTATAACTTATAGCTTAGCCTACAATGCAAACAATGTTAATACACAATATTTAAGTTTACATAATTTATTCCTTCAAAGACATTAGGTTTTAAGACTGCGATGCCAGTTTAGATTAGCTTAGTTGTTTAAGAGAAACTAGTCAAATAACCACGGGCTATCTATTGCTCAAATCGTTTAATTCTTCACTATAGCTTTATTCCTTTCGACCGGATTTCTATTTGGCCTAATTTATTAAACCGTAATGTTAACGCATAAATGTTAACTTTGTGATAAATATGGCTGTCAGCGCCATCTTTAAATGCCATATCATATGAAATCTAGTTGCTTGTATTATATTGTACCTAATATATATTAATTTATATGTAAATGCATAATGTAAGTTAGGTTTATAGGCTTTGTAAATATTGTTATGATGTTATATAATTTATAGGTATGTGTGCGGATAAAGGAATATAGTATGTGGTAGTCGCTTATACTACGGTCGGCGTCGGTACTCTGTAACATCCAATGGCTATACGTTTTGAATTCTATTTCGATTTTCTCAATATCCGACGTAACCGTAGAATCGCGGGTACATACATTGAATTCGTGTTTGGAAATTGCAGAGTAACCGTGCTGAAACTGCACTTATAACCGTTTCATGTCTGTTAAACACATAGTTGATGTATCGGTGTATCGATGTGACTAGTGAGGTCTATTTAATTTTCAGTGCAGTTTTATACAGCTTACTGTATTAAGAATTTTGGCTTTCGTCGTTAGTTTAGGGAGACAGTGACAGAAGAGTTTGTTACTAAGCAATTGTTTTTTGTTGGATTTTAACGTAAATAAAGATGTTTAATAGTTTAATGCTACAGACTGAGGCTTATCACGAAATCCCTTGAGGAAATGTCAAATATAATAAACGATTATTAAATATAAATGTGTGTTTTATTTACGTGTATACTTCACACAAATTATCTTAATATTCAGTCATTGCCTTCAGATCTGGTTCACTAAAACAATTTCGTTTACATTTATATGAACCGGAAAAATGTCTACTACCTATTCGTATATTATATTATAAACTTTACGATTACTAATTAATGCAGATTTTAATTGTATCGACAAACACAACTAATTGTGTAATTATTATTTGGTGTCCACTCTCATATTCGTACATAAAAGTGGTTACTCCATTTCTACTGAATAAATACACTTTTGTATTCATTACTTGAGCAGCGCTTGATGTTATTGAGACTAATCATAACTGTCTTAATCACAAAATTTATTTGTTTATTTAACACGTTGCAAAAACTATCACTTTCGCACCATCACACAACATAGTCCAATTATGTATTACTTAGTTAAATGTATTTAATAATAATTATTAATGATTTTTTCCTTTTGTGTGTTTGAACCTTTCGACGTGATAACGTCTTATAAATCGATGAACGCCCGCTGCACGCACGAAAAAACATGACTCATTGTCACGTTCCGTCTGAGCCGAGCGTGCAAGCGAGAGCGCAGAACAAGCTATAGAGAGGCACAATCGGCCTAAAAGTTTAGCTTGTGACGCCTTTATCTCTCTTCCACTCCATCGGCCGATGCGTTCGAGTAAAAAAGAGACAGCAGCAGCGCACAACCTCTACTTGAACTGTAAAAAAGTGAAGTAGAATAATTGCAATTGGTAAATAATTCTTGCATTTTAAGAATTTATCTATATCTATCTTTATCGATATCTTAATATATATATTTCTTCTGTGCGTGTGTATGTGACTGAACTCCTCTCAAACGACTGGACCGATTTTGATGAAATTTTTTGTGTGTGTTCAAGGGGATCTGGGAATGGTTTAGATTCACAAATCAGCCCGGCAGATGGCACTGCAGTCGGTACTTTCATACTTTGCTTAATATCCTAATCACTTTAAATATCATGCAGGACAACGTCTGTGGGGTCCACTAGTAATCTCATATATTTTTAATTGACTCCTGCTTTATATTATACAAAATAATGATAATAATTCAATTCAATTCATAAAAGCATGCAACTTCTCATTAATGTTTTCTTATGACGTTACACGTAAAATTATCGTCCGTAAACCGACTTTACAGACAACCAAAATTTTAATTTTATTGTATTCCATCTTTGGCTATATCATTAGTATAATTGTTTTTTGTTATATATAATTTATATCAGTTAGGATTACGAAATAAATAAATAAATAAAATTGTAGTATTCGATAGTCATTTTATTGAAGTCTGTAACAGAATTATGCACTGAATAAGAATTATAGCGATTGTAACCCCAAGGCATATCTAGAGTATCTCCACATATTTCTATGACATTTCTGATTACTAATGCAGTGATAAATTAGTGGCAACAAATTATACTGCGATAATCTTTTTTAAGAATTTCACAATTTTAGAAGTAAGAAATAAGGACTGGAAATAAGTAAGAAAGTAATACATACCGTCTATTTAATTTATTTATTTAATCTTTCTATTCTTAAGTTGGATGTTTAAAATAAAAACTTAATAACATAAAACTACATTATTATACAAAATTGACTATTTACACATATTTTCCATACCAACGGTTATCATATTTGGATATGTGCGTATTGCACCCTTGCATATTATTCTGTATTAAATATTTCATTGTATACTTATTTAAATTATTTTCTTCCTTCCACTTTTCTTCAACTGCTTGCTTTTCCATTATTTCTTGTGAGACCGGTTCAGCTTTAAATGGTAATCTCTCTGATATTATTCTCAACATAGTATGAACCTGCAATAAATATTTATTATTAAATGTTTAACTATAATTTAAATAATAAAATATTTAGTATTTGTTAGGTTTAGAGTTTACATATATACACACAGTTTAATATATTGTTTTAAATGGTCAGATATTGTATTCTAATAATTTTAGAGGCTTGACCTCTCATGGTATAATAAAAAACAAACAAACAATTATTATAACGTCATACTTGTACATAAGTAAGTTGATATGACAACTTATGGAGCAGATTACTGCAACAAACCAACCCCTGCATTTATAATATAACATGCAATTTTTTTAATATTTTAACATATTATTAGTAGCTATTACTTAATTTAACACAGGTATTAATCATTTTTAAATTCATACAGGCGTATTCATATTAGTATAAATGATACAATTTAACATTCTTGCATGACCTGCCATTTGGTTATTAAGTCATTGTATACAGAAAATATATGAAAAATTTTACTCATTATTTTAATACCTCAGCATATTCACATTTCCCTCCAATCTCAAAGATAATACGATCACTTTTTATAGGTGTGCAGTAATGATCAATAGCTCCTTTTCCACCTCCCATTCTTTGACCTTGGCCTTTCTTTGTAACTGGTTGCCAAGGTGGGTCTACACGCCATATAGCAAACATTTTTTTTTGATCCAGCCGTCTTGCCACTTGAAGACGTATCATTTCAAAGTGTTCATGTCTTAATCTACCACCGCCTCTCGCCTGTGAAAAATATTATTGTGGTAATATAAATAAGATTCTTTCCTTCAGACAAGCTGGACTGCTAGTAGGCTAACGCATGGTGTGATGATGGCAAATGTTTCAGAGGTAAAAGATCTCTGAGGATATTTTAATATGAATCTTGGTTTGGCACCAAATACATAAACAAGATATGCAAAATGTCTTATAGAAAGCTGTGGTACATATTGCAAATAGCTTGTGGCATATGAAGCTAAATATGGTCTCTTTTTATTGTCTTGTGAGTAAGTACACCAAAAATTCACCCATTACTTCTACAAGAATATATGGAGTGTATCCTTTTCCTCACAAGAGTAATACATGTAAATAATATGTTTACTATTGAGGTAGACCTATTTGTTTGTACTCTGGCGGAATTCAAAAGAGTTACTTGTTTTATTATTACTTATAAGATGTTGGTAAATAATTTTTTTATCATTACTTTTAATTGTAATTTTTTTTAGGTGTTAATACATACAAGTATAAATGCATAGTTCTATCCCATAAGCTATAAGATTATTGTAAAGATATGAATATATAAAGAATAATTATTTGGGTATTAAATAAAATCTAAGGAGACTACTAGCAGTGCACTTAGCACTTTAACGATTCCACAACTTCAACAATAATATTACAATACCAAGAAAGATATGGATAGTAAATATTAAATTACTCAAATTGTATAAATAAAAAAATTGTAATTTTACATACCACAACCCCATATTGCTTTAATTGTAAAGTATTATGTATTGTTTCTGGTCCTCTCATGTAACGAAGCCTCTTTTGCATTTTTGGGGGTTTAATATTTGATGGATACATAGGAACTTTGTCAAACAATTTTAATCTTGTTCGTTCAGGTATTTCAATATCTGTAGCAAAGATACATATTTTTAGTTTTACACCATAAGTAACAGAACCTACAATATCCTACAACCCTTTTACGGACTCCTTTTAGAGCTTACCGTCATAGTTTTTCGGAGGTGCAAAATATTTTATACCGAATCTTGAAATCACCTGGAATTTTTCAGGTCGTAATATATCTGCAAAAAGTCGGAATTTTAATTATGTGGAAAATTTTATTTATTGTCTAAACTCTAAAGTATAGAAGACGATACCTAATACAATACCAAAAGTCCTTGTTAACATTTTTAAAGTTTAGCTTTTAACTTAAAAAAAGGAAGAGCACTATGTTATAATTTGTGAAAAAATCTTCTCATTGAACTTGCAAATGTAAATAATGAATGAAAAATTATTTTATAGGTTAATTTTATATTTCTTGTTGGATTACACAGACTATGAGATAAGATTAAAAAGGTTAGCAGTATATCATAGACTACATTCAGTATATCTACTTCCACTACTACCTTTCTCGTCTGTGGATACTGGGATAACAATAAAATATGTCTTGTTCTAAAGGCAATTTCCATAGAATTCAAACTAGCTCTTCAAAGTTCGATCAAACCTAATAAGTAATTTGTGCTTCAAATTGGGTTTGACAGTTCAAAACACAGCAGACATAAACGAACTTGATAAATAATTAAAGGAAAGATTCTACGAAAGACTAGGCGGTATGGTCGAAAGACTATATCGCCTGCGCAGTGCGCCATGGGTGAAAAGAAAAAAAATCAAAACACAGCAAGAGACTATATTTATTTTACAAAAAAAGGTTCTGATTGTTAACTGTTATGTATTCGAAATTTTACTTCTACTAGAGTGCTGTGTATGGACGCTAGTAAATAATGTTAAGCGTAATATTTATGCAAGTTATTTAGCTACTCTATTATGAATTACACATAGTAGTCACTAATCAGTGGTCACAAGCAAGTTTCAAGTTTAATTATAAATTAATATGGATTATAAATCGAAGCTAAACTTTCAAAAATGCATATACTTTAATACTTGGACGTACATTGTTTGGTTATGTACAGCTGGTTTTTTCTTTTGTATTAAGGTAGGCGACAACATACGATGCAAGCCGGTACACCTGCACAATATAAATTTGATATTAACTTGCAAATTATTTCAGTTACAGAAAAATCACTATGACCAGCTTGTGAAGTATTTATCTATAACATTATTTTTTATGTTCACAATTATAGAATACATGAGACTCTATCTTGGACAGACTGGCAATTTATTAAGTCAGGTAAGAAATTGTTGCTTTCATTTTTATTATTTTATGAATTTTAACAATTAATTGTGGTCATCATACATACATTTATAACAATAATTGTTTTTAAAATTTCAGGTTCCAGAGATGGCTGGTTTCTTAATGTTGAGTGTGTTTATGCAAATGCCACTTATCACCTATTTTTTATTCAACCCATACTTAATGAACACTCCAATTGAAGTCACACTCCATGCGGTTATGTGGGCAATTATATTTTTAGAAATTTTGCTAGGCCATCAGGCATTGAAACAAGCATCTACTGTTGCCAAAGATTTATATTTTGGTTTGAGAACCAGAAATGGATAAGCAGAATATGACATGAATCAGATTTGATGTTGGTTTACCTATTCAAAACTCTAGGCTGGAAGCCTAAAGTAATTCACAAGATCTCTAAAAAAGCAATGTGAAAGAAAATGTGTTTAATACAAAATGTGGGTTTAATACATACATATTATTAAGCATATGCATACACAGGCTAAAAAAAATAAGTTTCAATTTTGTTCTTTAGTTTGATAATTAGAATCACTTAAATGGTAGTCTAGTATAAAATTATATCTATCACTAATGATTTTAAAATACAAATGACAATATAATGCAGATTTATTTAGGTTTATGTTAATGATACTAAGCAAAAATATGTCAGTATGAACTAAAACAAATATATATTGTTAATTTACAACCAATGTCAAATATCTACATTTACATAACCAACCTTTAAAATATTAAAAGGTGTATATTAATAGTTTCAATAGATAATGTTTTTAAAATTTTAAAATTCCAGACCAATTATCTGATATTAAGCAAAAAAGGGGAAAACCTCTGGTATAATGTTGTTGTGTTGGGATCTACATCAACATCCTTCACACATTTCCAATAATAATAACAGGAGCTAATAGAAAGTCATGTTATAAATATATAACTTTTAATTGTCTACACAATATTCTAATATTTGGTAATTATTATTTTTTTCCCATAAGAATATAATATTAAGATTATGCTTCGCAAAATAAGGAGTTTTCAATAAAAAAATTGTCAATTGCACATCTTACTATATGTAAAGAATCATTAAATATTGTCATCTTTTCTTCAAAACAATCACTATTCTCTAAACCCAAAGATGATATGATTTGAGGAAATGTAGGAGAGAGCTGACATATAACCTGAAAAGTTATAATGCCTTAATGATTTTTTTAATTAAAGAAAAATGAAAATATATTATATTATAAACAATAAAAGTTAAGTTCTTGTCAAAAAATTATGCTTTACCATAAACAATTTTTGTACAGCCCAGTTGTGATATTTCTTCACAGAGCCCTGATATGCTGTGTTAAAAATAATTTTCATATTTATCTCCCGTTTATCTTTAAGATTCTCTAATATTTCTTTAAATGTTAATTCAAAAAATAGCAGTGCTCTGTAAAATAAAAATAAATTAATACCACTAATTCATCAAAAATATCAAATGGAATGAATTTATTACCTATTAAGCCATAATGTAGCTTCAGAACCAATGTTGCCACCTGCAGCAGTCTCCTTCAACATTAGATCAAGTAAACATGATCTTTCATCTAACACAAAGTTGTTTTTTATTTTCTAAAACAAAATTAAATCCCTTGATAATTATTGATTATCATTAACTTTGATACAATTGCTAATATCATATCAGCAATATTAACTATGATACTTAATGACAGTTTATTTTTTATATTATAATGTGAGTGTGTGTGCATTAATTACATCTAATAAGTTAAAAGAAAATAAAACTAGGCAAAAATATCTATCTTTATCTTATTAATCATAGAGCTTAAATATGTTTATAAATTATATAGTTTACCTCAATATTTCCTTGCATATCTTGTTTTACAGGTTTTAGTAATTTTCCTAAGCAATCTGCAATTTAAACAAACCTTAGACAATAAACTCAGCATAAAATGGCATAAAGAAATCTAATCTTACCAACAATAGATAATAAATCTGAAGATGCCTTTAAAAATTTTATTAGATTTATGTGGCCATTTTCCAAAGGTGGAAAATAATTCAAATCTTCAAATGAAAATCTACTTTCCATTTCATTTACTAGATGAATTAGATAATGCCAATACTGACAGGAGTGAATATAATGCTTCTTTTTATCCAGGACTTTTATCTGCTGATTAGATAAAAATACACGAGTATAAATTGATATTAATTCAGCTTAAACCCAAATAGTACTTTAATTTATACCATATAATGAAGCTCAAGCATATAAAATGATCTTCCATGCTAATTCACAGGTACATTTTATATTTATTTTAATTGAACCTGTACTAATATTTGAAGAAATAATACATTTTTTTAAAACTTTAAAATATATATTTATGCTTTTTACTACGATCAATCGCCCGGGATTACCCTAACTAGCAACTTTATTTTCGTCATTTGGTATAAATAAATATTTATTTTTAGTTAGCATTGCTGATAATTTTTTGTTTATATTTACACAAATACAATCATACATTATTTGACAGCTGTTCTAAGTTTATATGTCAATTGTCATATATGATTTGCGACCATAGATGAAGTATATTTTAGACTTAAACGATTGTTTGTGTATAACGCAGGAAATAGTTAAACTTAAAAAAATGTGATCGGTGTTACTAGTACGGGAGGTAGCAACGTTTGAAAAGAAAAATTTTAGGTCACTGATTTTGTGATATGTCTTCCTTCTTGCACTTCCGGTTAGAGTCTGGGCAGTCTGCTGGCGGTAGCGGTTGCGTTCATTATGCGCATCCTATCTGTCCAGGTAATAATCCTGGATTTTAAAAGCATTTTAAGAAGCGTAATTTTTATTTTTCCTTTTTAAATACGTCTACCTACATACTTTTTTATTGCCAGACATTTTTCACTTGCTAACTATTGCCAGACGCGATTTTAAGTTTTATTTTTATAAAAATTTGTAAGCATTTTAGAATGTCTGTAATTTTAATATTATGTTATTTAAATAAAAGAAAAACTATTAATTAATTCGATTGTTAAGCCTTAATTAAAATGATAAAGTATTGCAGTATGATGAAGCATTGCATTTTAAGAAGCGTAATTTTTGATTTTTCCTTTTTAAATACGTTTACCTGACATACTTTTTTATTCCAGACATTTTTCACGTTGCTAACTATTCCAGACGCCATTTTAAGTTTTATTTTTATAAAAATTTCAAAGCATTTTAGAATGTCTGTAATTTTAATATTATGTTATTTAAATATAAGAAAAACTGAAAATTTGCCAACATTATTCGATTGTTAAGTCTTGAATTAAAATGATAAAGTATTGCAGTATGATGACGCATTGCATTTTAAAAGCGTAATTTTTTTTCCTTTTTAAATACGTCTACCTACATACTTTTTTATTGCCAGACATTTTTCACGTTGCTAACTATGTGCCAACGCGATTTTAAGTTTTATTTTTATAAAAATTTCAAAGCATTTTAGAATGTCTTAATTTTAATATTATGTTATTTAAATATAAGAAAAACTGAAAATTTGCCAACATTAATTGATTGTTAAGTCTTGAATTAAAATGATAAAGTATTGCAGTATGATGAAGCATTGCATTTTAAGAACGTAATTTTTGATTTTTCCTTTTTAAATACGTCTACCTACATACTTTTTTATTGCCAGACATTTTTCACTTGCTAACTATGTGCCAGACGCGATTTTAAGTTTTATTTTTATAAAAATTTCAAAGCATTTTAGAATGTCTGTAATTTTAATATTATGTTATTTAAATATAAGAAAAATGAAAAAATTTGCAGATTAATTCGATTGTTAAGCCTTGAATTAAAATATAAAGTATTGCAGTATGATGAAGCATTGCATTTTAAGAGTAATTTTTGATTTTTCCTTTTTAAATACGTCTACCTAATCTTTTTTATTGCCAGACATTTTTCACGTTGCTAACTATGTGCCAGACGCGATTTTAAGTTTTATTTTTATAAAAATTTGTAAGCATTTTAGAATGTCTGTAATTTTAATATTATGTTATTTAAATAAAAGAAAAACTATTAATTAATTCGATTGTTAAGCCTTGAATTAAAATGATAAAGTATTGCAGTATGATGAAGCATTGCATTTTAAGAAGCGTAATTTTTGATTTTTCCTTTTTAAATACGTTTACCTGACATACTTTTTTTTTTATTGCCAGACATTTTTCACGTTGCTAACTATGTGCCAGACGCCATTTTAAGTTTTATTTTTATAAAAATTTCAAAGCATTTTAGAATGTCTGTAATTTTAATATTATGTTATTTAAATATAAGAAAAAAAAAGATTGCCAGTTAATTCGATTGTTAAGTCTTGAATTAAAATGATAAAGTATTGCAGTATGATGACGCATTGCATTTTAAGAAGCGTAATTTTGATTTTTCCTTTTTAAATACGTCTACCTGATCTTTTTTTTGCCAGATTTTTCACTTGCTAACTATGTGCCAGACGCGATTTTAAGTTTTATTTTTATAAAAATTTCAAAGCATTTTAGAATGTCTGTAATTTTAATATTATGTTATTTAAATATAAGAAAAACTGAAAATGATTTGCCAGTTAATTCGATTGTTAAGTCTTGAATTAAAATGATAAAGTATTGCAGTATGATGACATTGCATTTTAAAAGCATAATTTTTGATTTTTCCTTTTTAAATACGTCTCCATCTTTTTTTGCCAACATTTTTCACGTTGCACTATGTGCCAGACGATTTTAGTTTTTTTTATAAAAATTTCAAAGCATTTTAGATGTCTTATTTTAATATTTGTTATTTAAATATAAAAAAATGAAATTGCCAGACATTAATGTTTTAAGTCTTGAATTAAAATGATAAAGTATTGCAGTATGATGAAGCATTGCATTTTAAGAAGCTAATTTTTAATTTTTCCTTTTTAAATAAGTCTACCTGAATACTTTTTTATTGCCAGACATTTTTCACATTGCTAACTTTGTGCCAGACGCGATTTTAAGTTTTATTTTTATAAAAATTTCAAAGCATTTTAGAATGTCTGTAATTTTAATATTATGTTATTTAAATATAAGAAAAACTAAAATAATTTGCCAGACTTAATTCGATTTTAAGTCTTATTAAACTATTGAAGATCTTATCTTGAAGAACACGAAAAGCTATTCTAGGATAATTTTTCATATTTGCCAAATCGATTTTGACCAGAAGTTGTTATACGCTGTTCTGATTCTGATTTTTAATTATACTTCTGGGATTGGATCACCTGAAAAATCTTTGAAAATTTGGATAAATTGGGTTTGGAATTCCGTTACTAATCATTTGTCCGATTCTTTGACTCTTTATGCAAACTTTACCATGCTTCCACCAATCACCGGATGTGTTCCCCAGCTTTTTTTAGAAAAGGCAAAGTTAAGCCTTTTAAAATATTAGAAAATTCTGAGGAATACCAGTTTGCTTTTGATAATATAATTTCGGATGATAAAGAAGTACTTGAAACTACGTTTGTAACTCTGGAGAAATTTATTTGTCAAATGTATGGAGTTAAAAATTGTTCGATTGTTAATGATGTTCGATTTCATTTATTTTCAAGTACGTTTAAGTCAAAAAATCAATGAGAACTTTGACAAAAATTTCGAAACTTTGACTCATCCAGTTTGCCACCCTTAAAGTGGAATTGGACACATTTATTGAGGGTTCTTCTGACAAAATTTGGAGAAATGCTCACTCAAAACATCCAACATCTTTATCTCCAATGGCTTTTGGGTGGACCATTAACGGTGACAAATATGATTTTGTTTGGTTTTTGGGAGATCAATTACCATCCTCAGTTGCAGATATTATTGTTCAAAGTAAGTGTTAAATGACATTTATCAATAATAACTAAAATGTTTAATAACGAAAAGAAAATTACACTGTTATTTTTTTTTCTGTTGCAATGATTTAGAAGATAACGAAATTCCCAAGAAGATGATATATGACACCGACAAAGACACGACGATGATGATGATGATTATGAAAGATGCCTCTTTTTTGTGACGTCACTATAGGCTAAAACAACTTGTAAAACTTAATATTAATTATTCATAACTTACATTTAGTAATTAGGACAATTTAAAGTGTTGATTATTAATTTTAATCAAATTTTATATTCCTTTTTATGCTCGTATACAACATTATACTGCAATACTTTTCATGACTTTTACATTTTAATTCAAGCTAAAACGACTAATGTCTGGCAAATACATTTTCAGTTTTTCTTATATTTAAATAACAATATTAAAATTACAGACATTCTAAAATGCTTTGAAATTTTTATAAAAATAAAACTTAAAATCGCGTCTGGCACATAGTTAGCAATGTGAAAAATGTCTGGCAATAAAAAAGTATGTCAGGTAGACTTATTTAAAAAGGAAAAATTAAAAATTACGCTTCAATGCAATGCTTCATCATACTGCAATACTTTTTCATTTTAATTCAAGACTTAACAATCGAATTAATGTCTGGCAAATTCATTTTCAGTTTTTCTTATATTTAAATAACATAATATTAAAATTACAGACATTCTAAAATGCTTTGAAATTTTTATAAAAATAAAACTTAAAATCGCGTCTGCACATAGTTAGCAACGTGAAAAATGTCTGGCAATAAAAAAGTATGTCAGGTAGACGTATTTAAAAAGGAAAAATCAAAAATTACGCTTCTTAAAATGCTTTTAAAATCCAGGATTATTACCTGGACAGATAGGATGCGCACTAATGAACGCAACCGCTACCGCCAGCCAGACTGCCCAGACTCTAACCGGAAGTGCAAGAAGGAAGACATATCACAAAATCACTGACCTGAATTCTTTCTCGAAAACGTTGCTACCTCCCGTACTATACGGTGTATAAGTTTTGAACAATGCTGACAGAAAAAAGATAAAACTTATAATATTTTGATTGTCTTGCAGAGATAGATTAAAAGCTTTTTTGTACTACATGTACTGCTACAAATTTTTTAATATCAATTAATGTAGCAGTACCTATGTCAGTTATTGAGTTCAAACACGCTTAACAAAGTCCAAATCAAAATCATCTTTGTCCTGTACATTCCAATAGATTTCTATCTAACTATTCACATTCGTTTCTATTATAAAAATCAATCTACTTGAAACTTAAATCAAAACAGGAATAGTTTGGGCAAAAGAGAGAATATTAATATATAAAATAAAGAGAATTCGAGGCAAAAAAAAGTTTCTTAAAATTTTGACTGTTGTAATAATTAATTTTGACACTTTCTAAACTCCATAAGGTATGTATGTACAAATATATATCGTAATAAATATTTTGCTGAATAAATTATGCCTGTACGCAATTTCTTTCCGTGTGTACAAAATTTAATGTTAATTTCCACTTTTAACTTTACAGACTTTTATACATCCATCCCACCCATGGAATAGGAGTCATGAACAGCAGCTACTGATACAGCTAGTGGTACTCATGAATAATAAATTAAATTATAAAATAAATTCTAGGTAATTATTGTACATTATCGGAATTTCGGAAACATTATTTTATTAACGGTTTAAAAAAACATTAATTTATAAAAATAATTGTATTTTGTTGACATTGATTTGTTTATTAGAAAATTATTCAAATCATATCCCTGTGCACATGTAGATAATATTGCCTAAGTTGATCAAACTGCCTGGTTTAAGGAAAACTCAACTACAGTTAATAATAAAACTTCTGCATATTAAGCTATAATATTCTATTTCGACAGTCCTTTTATAATATTATGTATGATAAATTTTCTCTATTAGATATCTACATAATATTAAAATTAATACAATTTTCACAAAAATATTCTTCCGGAATAAGTAAGTACGTAGTACATACATAAACTATATTTTAATTATTTTAGTACGAATACGCAAAGATCAGGCGAGCTTTGAAAACATTCTCGGCTTTTTAAAATATAGCTGACTCTTTTATCAATAATGCTTAAATAATACTGTATAGCTACTATATCTGGTTGACATTTGCGTATTTGGACAAAAGCCTCAAAGCAGAATTAAATTGTTTCATTCACTGAATTATTGTCACCACGCTTAAACGCCACATTCACTTTGATTTCGTAGATTTAATACGTAAATGATTGTTTTAGTACATTCCCTAAATCATCTTCAACCACTATAGTTAATACTTTGCTTTTTGCTGAGAATGTAAAAGGCAGCAAAAATCTTTTTTCCGGTAGGACATTGGTAAATTCATATGAATCGAGTACCATACCATTTGACTCATCTCTGACTTCCACAATTCTTAATCCAGCTGTTGATAAAATCATCATTTTATTCTTATCAAATTTAAGGTAACGTGTGATAGCTTGTCTTTCTCTCCCGAACTCATTGTTAAACCATCGGTGGTAGGATAACAAGACCGCGCAATTTCTTGTCCAATAAACGGAATCATTTCCATTATTACGATTTGCATTTCTTTTAGAATCGGCCATTCGATTTGTTATCGTTGAATAAACACTTGATGGTCTAGTAATCGGAGTCACATTGGGGCTTCGGCGCACAATATCTGATTTAGACATGGATACAAAGTTTCCAAGTGTCGTTTTACTTCTTGGGCCTAGAACTCTTAAGGGTTCAGCTACATTCATCGTCACATTTATGTTACGCTGTAGTGAAACAGTTGAATGCTGCACTGGTTTTCCGTTAAAGTTATTATTATCTTTGGTTGCAGCTGATCGCTTCTCGCCGACTAAAAATACTCTGTCAATGTTATCGAAACCTCTCCCCATTATACCATCTTTTGTGTGACCAAGATCAAACGTGTGGCCTAATTCGTGGAAAACAGATCCTAAAGTTGTCGCAAAGCATCCTCCTATAGTTCCTCGATAACCACTGTCGTCCATGAACCTCTTATTATTTACAGGATTTGGGTCTAATAATTTCGGCACGATTTCGGACACTGATGAAGGCCATGTATACAAACAAGCTGTTCCAAATAATGCTAAACCTCCTCCTCCAAGTGCCGCATATGCCTCTGTATTTGACACATTTTCATCGTGCGTAAAAGGTTTATCAATATCTGTTCCTTTAAATCTTGTACACGAAATAAACCCTAGAAACTTTCTTTCGTTACTTCCAAGTTCCGATAACATTAGCTCTCTGCCAAAATGTGTCCACAATTCATCTTGTTTCATTTTACGAGCTTTATTTACGTTCAGTGCACTCCTGAAAACTAAACATTCGGGGCTTTTTGTATCCACTTCGTGTTCAAGTTGAAATGTTTTTCGTCCGACACCACTTTCATGAAGTTTTTCAGCGGTAACGCTTTGTATGATCTTTGAGCCAATAGCAATGCGAGCACAAGCACTCTCAATGGAGTTATTGATTTCAGGTGGACATTGAAAACATCCATCGTGGCCTTGACAGATAATATAAACTGGCGTAACTCTTAGATTTGTCTTTCGTGGCTCGTAACGTAACAATAGATTTGTTTTGTGAAGGCCTGTGAATTCCAGATCAATAACATTGTCACCCTTTTCAAGTTCAATCAACACTTTGAATTCACGGTTGTAAACCTCCCAAAATGATTCCGTTTTATTTCTGTTACTTTTACATCTAATTTTTTCATAATTGTTACAGGCGCCGTATGTTATGATTCCTTTGATTATAACGAGCGAGTAATTAACGGTTTCTCCATGTTGCAAATTCGTTATGAATATTGAATTTTGTTCATTTTGGTTAGGTTCATTCATTCGGTTGTCCATTACCTGAAACAATCATATACAGCGTATATTTTAATCCATATTCACGAAATTTTTTACATTTGAGGCTTTGATATGATTCATCTAAAAGTGATACTGATTCAAGTATAATTAGGTTAAGCTATTAGCGTCAACTTCTCAACGTGACCTTGCTACGTTATCATACCGAAGAAATAGCAATTGAGAGCATTCTACCTGAGTTTTATATTTGCGGTAAAGGTCGTCCCAAATGAATTGTTTCGCACTGAAGCATGACTCACCATGATGCGGCTAGTGAGGAGCGCGCAGAACTGGCGCGGCGGGAGGACTGCGGGTGTCGCGGCGCGGAGAGCCGATTCAGCGAACAGCGTTACCGGTACTCAGTCCTCACTTCCCTTTTACTTAGGAGACACGAACTGCGCATGCTCGTAGATGCAGACAGCTATAACACAATAACGATTGCGACTGTTGCGTTACAGACTAGCTGTCTCCACGACGAAGAGGGAAATTCAAAATGTGCAGTGCAGTACTATGAGTCACTAGACTAAATAGAAAAAATGTTAAATTAGATGATGCATTTTTCCCAAAGGTTTTTAAATTCAACAAACATATAGTAAAAATAAAAAGGACTTAGCCATTCATTAAGTATTTATTGGCTCTAAAATAGGTTATATAGAAAAGTATGATTTGCAGCTTTGACAAGGATTTAGAGTTTGCAAATCTGTAATGAACCTAGAATTAAAAGCGCCTGTCGTTTTAATAGACTTACGATAATGTACAAAATAAGTAACGCTTTCCAACAAGGCGTTTAAAATTATTTATTCTTACTTGTAATATTCAGGCTTGATTGTTCTATACTGTTCTAGATAAATTATGCTATTAAAGCGTTGCTAGTTTTTCCCTGTTATGACGATTTAAATACGTTTAGCAATTATTACAGTAAGTATAATATTAAAAAATATAAATTATATGTATTTTAATTATAAAAGTTAATATAAATGTTTTCTGAACAAGTTGTCGTTAGCTAAAGTGTGCTTTATATGAAAAAGAGAATAAATGAGCATACATTTGAAATGTTTTGTCTTGTTTATAAATATAACATACAAAGGAAGTCTATTATTAATTGGCAAAATAAAAACTTTCAAAGGAAATATTAGTCTAAAAATGGCAGCATTTCACTTTCGTCTAGATTTCGTACTTATACTATTATTATTATTAATACAAACCATTAGTATACTTATTAAGTTATTAATGATTTAGTACTTTTATGGTAAACAGAAATAATTGATAGGCCGTACAAGTAAACTAATAGATCACACTCGTGAATTGTCTGCGTAGAAAAACTTTAGCTGTGTTCTATGTAAAGTCCGCATTTATCTGTGCATAAATGAAACTTATGAAACGTATCAAACAATCTTACATTATATTGTCTTTGGTTTATACGAGTATTCCAAATTTAAATGAAAGGGATATAAACGCGAATTTATTACATTATTTAAATGACTCGTGTGCTTTTCAGCAGTGATAATCGAGGGACGTCTACATCAGAGACAACAATTTGATATTATACGTATATATAATATATTTGGGCAGTAATACCAAAGTTTATTATAAATCAAAATACATAATTTCATACAAAAAACTATTATTAGCACAATACGAATAACGAATCACAAATGCGAAAGTCCTAAGCGACATTGTATATATCGAATTTAGATTCGTGTTAGATAATGCATACCGTCGAGGTGAATAAACTTGGTGTGTTGCCAAGTGAGATTACAGCGACGTGTTGTATGATGATGAGTCGGGTGCAGGAAGTGGACAGGGCAGCAGGAGCCGGTCGTTGTCCCAGTGAACGCAGCACTTTCGCTTTTATCGGAGAACGAACCCGGCCCATTACTACCGCACTCACGTGGTTACACCATCACGCAGCTGTTGGTTTTTGGTACGATAGTATGTGTGCATACTAATGTGGGATTGTGATGTTAGATTTCTCTTCGACTCGGACCCATTAATATGACAAATGGTATTGTATGATTAATTGGAGGGCCATATCAAGTATAGTAACCCATTAGGGTTTTTATAGTTTTTGCGTCTGTTTCAGGAATTACTTTTCTGTGTCCGAAATAATATTAATTTTTTTATGAGAGATCGGAGCGCAGAGTTAGTAGAAAACATATACTAAACGGCTTGCAACCTTGGAAAGATATACCAGCTCTAAACAATTCAGTAATGATAATTAAAATTAAGTTACGCGAGTTGTGTATGTGTGTTGTGTGAAGTGTTTCTAACACACGTTCATGATCTTAATAGAACTGTCAGACATCTAGCTAGGATACACGTGATACTTATGCATAAATATATGGCGTTACGACGTTTATTAACTACTAATTATATATTTCATAAAAATAGGTAATACGTTATTACGCAATTGTCGGTGAATAAGGTTTTAAGGAACCTTATATATAAATATAAAACCTTTTTTTAACCTCTAGTATAAGGGTGTAAAAAGAAAAATAAATTCAATTTCATTGTTTTAAGATACACTCTACCCTTGCCAGCTGTGTTAAATTTGTATCAGAGTCTTGTATAATATACGTCATCTATTTCCGAAACGACCGAAAACTAATTAAGGCGTAGACAAAAAGGAATTCCCGTCATTTCGCCCGTAAATGGAAAACACGTTAGGGTTCAAATTAAACCTTCCAAGGTCTTCGATGATTAAAGCCTGCTAGCTATTATTTTGGTACATAAAATGTTAATTTATTTCATTTTGTGACTATAGCAATGCGTACACATCCGGGGTTCGATCTCCGTAAATAGCATCGAGTTGAAAGATAGGATGATTATATACTTGGCGATAACAATTCTACAGACGTGAAAATATGCTTTATGCCTGTCTCCCCTAATGTCTGTTAGGTAAGCGTCTGTACGTATGAAAGTACCTGGAAGAAATCATTATAATTTATTTGAGATTGTATATCTATAAAATAGTTTAAGTCTGGGCTAATTGCGGATATATTGTAGCAGGTTTAAAAGCCCTTCTTTGTGGGCCTTAGAATGTTATCTGTTTAATGATCATTAGTAAAACTAATAGGCAAGTAGGTGATCAGCCTCCTGTGCCTGACGCACGCCGTCGACTTTTTGGCTCTAAAGCAAGCCAGTTTCCTCACAATGTTTTCCTTCTCTGCACACATAGAAAGAAAGTCCATTAGTGCACAGCCAAGAATCGAACCTACGACCTCAGGGATGAGAGTCGCACGCTGAAGCCACTAGGACAACACAGCTCTTATGAGTGATTATTATAACTCATTAAAATATAATGATAATTGTTTAAGAAACAATTTGTTTGCTTGATTGGCTTCAAGGGTACATATAGTAGGTACATTATAGTTTTCTATTTTAAATTTACCTTTGGTTGTCACGCCTAAGGGCTCATCGTGTGCGTTTCATAGCGTGTCGTTTCGAAACGATCTTCTTTGTTAATAATAATGAAGATCTTAGAAGTTTCATCACAGTGCGCTTGTTGAATAATAACGCTCGGTTGAATGAACCATTGCAAGTTGTCCTTGTTTTCTGTGATTTTCCATGAGGCGCGTGCCCGTCGAGGAAAACCTGGCATACCTTCTGGCCAAATGGTAAAAGACATCTCACGTGTGAGTATGCAAGTAAACACTACAAAATTAACGCTAGATTGGATATAAGGACACGACTCGGAGCGGGGTATTGTAATAAATGCCGCGTTGAAATGTATATTGACGTTCCAGTCGATGTGTTTTGAGTACTATTGAAAAGTCATATAAATATAATTATAGCGAAAACTTTTTAAATTTGTTTTAATTCTCTTTTTATTAATTTTTAATTATTTTAATTATTACTGTGTAGGTTAAGAAAATTGTAAATACTGTATATTTGATTGTTATGATTACTAATAAAAGTTATTATAGCGAATATTTATAATTTATGGCTTTTATTATAAACGCAAAACTTCGAATGTTTTCTTAACTTAAATATATAAAATAAATCTATGCTTAAGATTATATATGTAGTAGGACACAAAAGTGTGTAACTCGACTTAATTATACCTACCAATTAGGCCTCATAAATATTTCAAATTTATTATATAATTTAGTAAAGACTACATCACATTTTAACTTGCTAATTTAATTTACCAGAACAACGTTAATGATAATGAGTTTTATAATACTATTTATCTCACTCTCGTGAAACACTCGTTTATTAATTATCACTTAACCCAAAATTTAAAACTATAAATTTTAATTACCACATACGTAAAATCTTGCAAAACCGCCAAATAATTCAAATACATTACGTAATTCACAATTTCACGCATTTGAAATCAATGTACGATAATTTAAAGAGCAGCTGTAGTACGGTGGTTGAGTGTGCGATTCCTGAGTTGGTTCGGAACCCGCAACAACGGGTTTTTGTTTCTATGCTCAATTATGGCACGTATGGCGAAAAAAACTCTCAAGAAAACCTCCACATCTCGAGGTAAGAGACTTAGCGCGAACTAACACACCGGTATGTCAAAATCCGTTTTTAAAATACAACAATCATACTTAGCGCCAAATCTCGACACCTGCATTTTACTTTATATAAGTGCAACACTTAGAAATAAATATCTGTCCCATACCCCACTCGGGGTAATACCAATTTGAACTTTAACATATTCTTGGCCTTACGTTTCGGGTGAATAACCGCCTTTCGTAATACTTAAAGTTAGCATATTCATGAATTTAACATTTACAAAACTCGTAGCAAATAGAAACTTTTGATCTATGTCAATTTTCGGTGATCGTAAAACTTGTTTTGGCTCCGATTTGATACAGCCTGGAGGCATTCGCGTTGCTATGCTCTTAGTAGAGCAGTAGTACACAATTCTGTTATAATTTTAATACGGTAACTTTTTTGCTGATGCCACGCGCTGTTGCGCTTAAGTGGAGCCCTTCGGCGCTTTTTGTTGTTTTAGAGGTGAGCTTAATTTAAAAACCTTTGTATTTTTGTAACAAACGGAGCGGCTGCTACATTTTTACGTTTTATAATAACGTAATTAAGGTTACGAGGACAGTAACGGGATAAATGTATTTATTTATTTATATGTTCCAAAACAATGTATGCATAAAAATTACAAGAAAATATGACATAAATTTTACAAACCACAAAATAAAAACAATAATAACTAAAACGAAATGGAAACTTAAACCTTATTAAGAGCATGATGAACAAAGTTAGGGTAAGTTGGAAGATTGTTGTGAAATTACAATATAAATAAATAAAATATCCTGATAAAAAAAAATAGTAAATTGTGATTATTGAACGTGGTGTATGTCGGTGAAGCGTGCTTAAACAATTGTGTGATTGCGTTTCTCGCCAGGATCCGATATCATTGAACTATATTTAGAAACCATTGCGTGGTCAGTGTTAGTATACGGCTCGTACATTGTCGTTGATTAGTTGTACTATGCGTTACAATCTAGATCTTTAGAGAGTTATATGTATCTGTAATCTTTTAAAAATCTATAGCTTGGTTTGGCTATGAGGCAAAAATCTACACAGTTAGTACTCATTTGTCCCTATTGAATTGTCTTCTGGTTTTGTACGGTTAAAATTAGACTGCTACAGTTTTATGAATAAGGGGAAACTACCACGGGTTCGGGCACGTTCACGGACACGTGAGATCCTTGGTAACAATAGCTGCCTAATCACATCGCCCATTCAACATCCGTTCAAGAAACTGACCACTCATACTGAATATGAAATTCACGTTTAATGTGTCACTTTTTGTCAGAAGCATTTTCGAGTCCGGTCATCGACCCTAGCATTGCGTAGGCTACTTTCTCTTGATGTTGGGACGAAGGGGCGCGGGTGGAGGGGCTGCTGCCAAAAAGAGTGCGTGAAAGGCTACAGCCTATGCATATGTTGGAGGCCTATGCTTAGATTCTAAATGCGAAAGTTTTTTACACTTAGACCGCTTAAAATTTCGTTATATATATTCGGTTGGTGTATTGCATATAACGCTCGTAACATATGATGTCACAATCTGGTTAAAGTTAAAAGTAAAGTCAAAATTCAAAGAGAAAAGATGTATTATATAGTTTTTCAAATTAAAGTCCTTGGACTGTCAATGCGAAAGTCCGCTTTTAAAGATGGCTCAGTCAATGTTAATGAATTTTGGTTAGAAGGCTTTTTAACAAGCTACGAAGCCGTCTTTATTATAAATGTATGATATTGATAAAATCTTATAAACGCACGTACTAATACAACAAAGTATTATCAGGGTAGAACAATTAAGATAAAGCCTCTATTAATATGTTATAATATATGATTAATAGAATTTAGTATCATATCAACTACTTGCTGGGCTGTTCTTAATTTAAATCTTGTTCTCCTGTAACGTAGTTGGCGCCGAATGCTGCTTTAGTTGAGCAAGAGGTCATTGAACTTAAGGTATGGTACAACTTCTTTGCGAATCCAAAGACGATTTTGGTAATCTAAAGCGAGTTGTATAAGCGACGCTTTCTCCGGACTGTAACCAGAATAAGTGAACGGAGAAATTTTAAATGTTATATGTTTATACTTCCCAATAAAATACGTACAATAATTTATATAATATAAATATATTTTAAATTAATGGCATTGAGCATAGTGAGGTAATGAGGCACATGGGTGGCCAAAACAAAAGATTGATTTTTAATTAATAATTAACTTAAATAGAGTAGTGTTGGCCTAGTGGCTTCCGTGGGAGCGTGTTACGTAGGTTCGTTCCCCGTCTGTGCACCAATGGAGTTTAATTCTATGTGTGCATTTAACATTCGCTCGAACGGTGAAGGAAAACATCGTGAGGAAACCGGCTAACCTTAGACCCAAAAAGTTGAAGGCGTGTGTCAGGCACGGGAGACCGATCACCTACTTGCCTATTAGATTGACAAATGATCATGAAACAGATACAGAAATCTGAGGCCCAGACCTAAAAAGGTTGAAGCGCCATTGATTTTCTTTTGTAATATATATTAATAATAAATCTAATAATAGAAATTAGCCCTTTTTAAACATGTTCGTGTCCTCAGCCAGCCTGCCTTCAGGAATTAATCATTATAAAATATCTCATACATATACTTCAAAAAGCATTATTATAGGAAGATAGATTTTTCTTCTAGAGTTGCCTGTCTTTTGGACCGAAGTGAAACTCACAAAAAATATAATTAAATAGCAAAGAAATTTGATTTTAATCTATTTTATTTCATATCTAATTCTTCTTACCTTTTTGACATTCCTACTGATTATCGTGACGTATCGTAAAATGCTTTATTTAAAAAAAATCATGTAGACTTTACGATGTTTCAATTCAATAATTATTTGTCAAATAAACCTTAGTAACACATATACCCTTTTATTATATAAACAAAAAACATTTTTGTTATGTATTATCAAGTTACGTAAATTTTAAGGTAATTTATTGTATGACATCATACATACACATATGTAAAACAGCAGCAAATATATATGTATATTTTAATTATCGCCTATGGCTGGTATGTGAATCACGTCATAACCGTTGCGCTGAAACCAAAGTTACGAAAAACACTTGGCGCCATAGGAATACCAATTGAGCTGAATTGGGCGATATAAAGGTTGGAGGCAAAAATCTTAAAAATTACGAAATACGAGAGTTGGCACATTGGACGTGCTTACGACGCCCCGTTCTCTCTTTTGAAGGTCGCTTTGTGCGTGTGTGTACCGTTAAAACAAAACTGTCATAATTTCGAAGACCTAGTTTACCAATCATAATGTAACTGTATACAAATGAAACGTCATGTTCTCGCTGTGAAATATTTATGCCAGTAAAGCCATAATTTATTAATAGTCAATTGAACTCTTCTTGAATTCATCATTCAATTAGAGATATAATCCAACCTAATTTATTGTTTACCTTGTTTAGTGTATTGTTGAAGTTACAGTACATTGTTCTACGCTTCGTAGCAGGTCTACGCAGTCGTAGTACACTGCGGCCGCTCCGTGCGCTGGGCCGCTGGGCGCAGGCGGTTCGCGGTCGGGTGTCGTATTTCTAGAGCATTGAACCTCTGCAACCTTGTGCGTTGAGCCCCGCCGCTCTCTGTGCGCTGACGCAACCAATACAGCCCCTTCTCTGATTCAGCCGTTCTTATAATTATTCCCTTAGGGCACATCCAAACTGAATCGAAAACAATAAATGATAATCATCAATTCATAGTTTAAACAAAAGGTTACTAGGCTACTTTATTTTGCGCGATCATTATAATTTTAATACTAGTAGTTGTATCCTAAATACATCTAAACAGTTGTTACATTGAAGGCTCGGTATGTGATAAATGGCAACCGGCGAGCGTCAATAACTATCAAAGTGCTAAGTGGCATCAACAAACTGCAAATAGTTCGCAAGAAGTGCGAATCGGTCGCGGAGCACAATTGACGGCTGGCCGAGAGCGTAGCGGCTTGCGAGGTGACGGTTACGTAAACCGCTGACATAACCAAGTCGATGACCGCTCTTGCGCAACCGGCGAACCCGCAACCCCACGCACCGCACCTCCTAACCACTCGCTCCACTCCCCACTACCCATGAAAATTACCTAATTGTGACCAAAATGCGTTAAAAGGACACGAGTTTATCGCCCGAGTTACCACATCGGCAATCATTAGAGCAACAACCTCACCGAACTCAATTCTAACATTTAGCTGGCATTCATCTCGCTTAGCATTTACTATGCAAAACTACTGTCGATTGTTTGCCTTACAAATTGGTAAATGGTTTATCTCAATATCAGCGAGCAACACTTTGTGTGGTTAAGACAGTGTGAAATACTTCCAAGGATTCAGCAAGTCAACGTGTGATAAAAACACGACACTTGCGAATTCCGAGCAGGTTGTAGGAAACGCGGTGACATATCGGTTGCGAACGCATTCGTGGGTATGTGACGTATGGGAACAGTTATCCTTTGCGAACGAAAGTGAAAACTAAATGCGGGTTTGGTCGTCGACCCCATGCGGGTCGTTGACCGCTCCGAACTGCAAAGGCCGTTTGTAAGTAGAGGCCGCGTACATAACATTTACCAATGCTGTGGACACACGGCACGCCCAGGCCATTCTACGTGCATTCATACCGGTAATGCACCCAGCTATTTATTTTATGGACCAGTTTTTATTACTAAAAGTGAATGTTATACAAACCAAACATTATTAATATTCCTAATTGCAGAGGCCTAGGTTAAGAATTTAATAATTGATGCAGGAAACTCTCAGTTACATGTTGACAAAATTCATTTTTAAATGAAATCAAATAATATCTAATCTGTTTAAAACTTCCTCCAATAATTTACATATAACAATATTATTATGTGTGTTCGTGACTGTTTTAGGGCCATCGGTAAAAAATATGTCGTCAAAGTGATTTCATTTAATTATATAATGTTTTTATAATTAGCACAAAACAACACAATTTTTTGAAAATTTTAAAAGGTGTTAACAGCATCTGTATCATAGAGTTAAGACTTGCATCTAGGGCGCGTTACACCAAACGGGTTTTTTTTTTGTACGTGATGATGCGGAACAGAAGAGAGAAATTTGGCGAGATTTGACTTTCTGTAAGGAGGACACGGTCATGAGAAGTCATCGGCTTCAAACTGCTTCCACTACTCTTACGTATGCTTGATAAATGTGATTACGTTATGTATTATTCACAGCCGAATTTACATAAAACTTTGAATCAGAACCTAGCTAGTGAAAAAAGCTTAAATTGCTTGGAAATTAAGAATAATACTAATTACGATTTCATATTAATTCTAATTAGTTAAAAATAAAATGAAATCTATTCTCGATTGATTCTTTATTCATACAAATTTACAAAATAAATTTAAATACATCTGTAAAAACCAGTTATAGCATCCGTGGATTAGTGACGCATGTATGGTTTCGATGTTCATCAACAATTATTTCGGTTCAGAAGGCACAGGTCATTCAAAAATTAAAATGAAATAGGATAAATACGTCTGTCTATGGTGGAGTTACGGGACTATAACCATTGACGAATCAAGAGCAAATATCGTAATAAGAACTTACACTCCATGTTAGGTTAGTAATAAAAAAAACTTAATAAATTTTTTTTTTATGCAGACTGTTAAACTACGAAAAGTCACATATCATGGACACGTTTTGAGTCATCACCAATACGACAGCGAGGAAAATGCAAGGCAAGAGACGCACTGGTAGAAGACGTGGTTGCGAGTCATTACGGGAGTGGACAGGCATCACATCCGCCAAAATTTTTAGACTAGCGCAAGATTGTTAACAGCCTTACTTCCTTCAACAATAAAGGCACCAAAGAAAAAGATACTTTATGAATCAAGTCGGTCCAACGCTTATTCTTAACCAAACGCTAACTATAGTTTAGTATGTAAACCTTAACCGTAGTTAAGCAAAGAAATGGCCAAATTTGTGAATATATTTTCGAAAGCACACAAGCCTTATGCAACAGTTCAATGTGATACTTTGGTTATAGCGTGCGTTTCGCGCGCCACTTTCCTTCTGACCAAATGTTTGATTAACAATGTTTTATAATGTATACAACACATATATATATAACACATATATACGAGTATGTAAATACAAGCCAAGTATATTTATAAAACCAATAAGATCATTCTTTGTTATGTCAAATGTTTGATTTTGTATCTGCCAAATTTATTCTTAGGTATAATTATTTCTGTGTCTACTATCCTATTTCACTATGCCTCCGCCTGCTCCTTACAAACATTGTGTAAAACGTAAACTTGACGATTAAAAAGAGTAGCGGAGAGTTTATTGCCAGCTCTTCTCTTCCGTTCTACGCCTTTGATTTGAGAACTGGCATTTCATATATATTTCTTTTTTGACGTTAATAAGTGTACATTGTGTTACCTATATGAATTAATGATTTTGAATTTTGAAAATTTTCATAAAGAAAGTATTTCTACTGATTAATTTATTGATGTAAATAATAAATCTTTTGTTTAAGAAACTGTAATATTTGTCCTTAATATAGACTTATCACCCACCTAGAAAGTAATTAAAAAAAACAATTTCTAAAGCGGTGAAATTAGTAGAGATCGAAGACATTCCGTGAAAAAAATCGATATTATTAGTCCTATTCAGGATTTGAACCCAAGATACTAACCACCTAACGACAACAAGATGTTAAAAATAAATCCTCAAATTTTGACACTACAAGTGTTAATTCAAAATCTTAATAACGCTTATCTATAAGGTGTGTCAATGTAAATGTATATTAAATATTATTTTTACGACTGGTCATCGGCAGGCACTACTTACCTACTTACAACCATGTCAAATTGGTTATTTATTAACATTCATTTAATAGCCACTTGCATTTAAAACTGTACTCAGTACAACTTAGATACTGGTCACCACACAGCCCAATAATATTGAAATTGTTACATGTAGAAAATATAGTGCATTGCGATTGTATAGTAACAAACTTATTTTTATTAAACATTCATTTATTTATAAATATACAACTAGCCTAACCCTAATAGCGGTCATAACTAAGCATAGTAGTGATAGTTGTGTTTTACTTACCGTAACATAGGACATTAAACGTAGTCTTTGCGAATTTGCTCCGAGAACATAAAAATGTCGATCGTTTCGGAGACAGTACTAACTAAGGGTTTAAGGGGTGGCACAAATTCGTTCTGCCCTAGGTATAAAATAATAATAAAATATTACTGAAGAACTATAATCTCTTACCACCTCATTATATAGACTGTCACCAACACAGGGTACACAGTCCCTAGTGTGGACACAACTGTGTTGTGTGAAGAAAGTTTACTATTATTATTAAATAACTAAAAAAATTAAAAGATCTTCCGACTAGAGTCTTTAAAAAGCGATTTGGTGTATTACTTTTGGATAAAATCTACTATTCAATAAATGATTATTTGCGTGAGACACTGTAGTTGATATAAATTAAATAAAGTACGATACAAATAATATAAGAATTGACTTTAACTAATAATGTAAAATGTAAAATTCCTTAAGACAAATTTGCGCGCCATTGTGATTGGAAGAATATGCGAACTTACGATTGTACCACCTTACACATTTTTGTACCATATTCTTGCAATAAATAAATTATTATTTTTAATAAATCAAGAAAAGAGCATTTAAAGACCGGCAACGAACGCGCGAGTCTTCTAGCATTGTGAGTGATTATAGGCAGTGATATCATTTTAGATGAGCCAGTTTGCCCTGTCTTATAATTATTTTTAACAGCACTGAATTAATTCGTGAATGTTTTCGTGCAATAAAATAGTGAAAGTAATGGAGAATCGTGATGCAGGTTTGAGCTTTTGTAGGTCATCCTAGATGTTAGAATGTTTCCTACATTAATGCCACATAGTTGTGAAACGTTTATTATGTTTATTGTGACGGGAGCTTTAATATTTGTTTGTACTTTACTCGTTGAAATTTATCATATGAAATTTATTAAACGATTAATATCTATTCGTTAGTTTTCAAACGCATTGAATTGGTTTTAAATTACATATAATTATAGAGGAACTCGTAATTGAATTGATTTATACAATGACAGTGGTATGTGGTGTTATAAAATTGTTTAGTGACAGTTACAGTTTTGCCAATCTCTTGGAAAAGTTTTCTACGGCTCCTAAATTTATAGAAACATACTTCCAAATTTATTTTATTTTGAAATGCATCAATGACAAGTGTGCACAACATTTAAAGGGAAACATTACAATTGTAAAAGAGAAAAGAAATAATACAATAAAAAATTTAATTGTCTTAAGATATTCAGTCCATTTTAAAATTTATCGTACCTAATGAAGCTTCATGACAAATAATTATTATCTGTTGACAGACGTATGCTGTTCTAGTCAGAGGATGTTTATAGTTACTGTGTCAAGTATCATTCGAAGAAGAATCTTTGACAGCTACACCATCGCGGTCATCGACCCGAGTTCGCTTTACATTTGGCGAACAATGATTTGGAGTTGCGAGGTGAATGGCCGCGGTCTGAGGGGCTGCGCGTGGGCAGTTATTGACCCATATTAGCAGTGAAAAGTAGATCAGTGGGCGAGAGCGGCGAAATTCACTATGGAGTCGAGACTCGAGAGTCTGCGCACGCCGCAAGCGCAGCAATTGCAGCGTCCGATAATGTAAATGTTCCTAACCGGGGATATGTTTCGCTTAGAGTTCTAATAAACAATAGACTAAAATTAGATCGACTAAGTTTAAAAATAGAACCTTTTCTTATCAAAGAAATAAAATATGATAAGTAATTCATAACTATGGTAAATTTACTTTGACTTTAAAAGTAAGGCAGAATATGTTAACTAAAATTAATTGTTTCAAGAGAAAGTAAAATATATTTTGGTAGCGATTTCAGCTAGTAACAAATATTTATCCGTGACATAATTTCTTTGGTGCGTAAGCAATTCAAAACTGCTTCGGTGTCTTATCTTATGAGAAAATCATTTGTTTATTACAATGATGACTCCTAAGAATTGAGATGTGCTAACGCATTTGTTTATAGTTAGTATTTTATACGTTGACAAGGCATTTAAATATAATAGTAACGTGTGTATAATATTTTTGTTGCAATTTTATTATTAACAGTTATGGCTATA